AGAGTATGTAGAGCACGCACCCCGTCAGGTTCTCAAGGTCGGGTTTGGTGCCCAGCGAAGGCCCTAGGCTCCCCCCAGAGTTACGGACGTCTCTCTCGCCGTCTGATGGGTGGGTGCCCACCGTCACATCGACGACTTTGCGCGAGTGGGGACAGTACACGTACACGGGGCTGTCTCCCACAGCTACAACGAATAGCCCCCACTCCCCTGGAGTTGTCAGCTCGCAGACTACCGCGGCGCTGAGTGTAGTGAGCGTCCCGTTGTGCTCCAGTATCAGTTCTTGCGCCTTCTCCGTCACGGCTTCCACCAGCACCTTCGAGAGGGCGTGAGACGTCGGGTTTTGTCGTATTTCGGGAAGACTCGCCGTGACGTGTTCCATGACTGCCCTCACGGCACATCTGGCCGCCAAGCGAGGCTTCTGACCCCAGCCAACCCCGTCGGCTATTGCCAGAACGGCAACGTTCTCTCGGACCTGGACTCCGAACACGTCTGCAACTGGATCCCCCACCGACGTGGTCGCAGGACCTCTGGCTTCTTCCGGCAGGCTGGGAGTAGGAGGAGGGGCTGCACCAGGCGATCTATCCTCTTCGTAGAGGGAAACAGAGATGCCATAAGCGAACTCCGAAGGCCTGTCCCAGTTCTTGGTGTCCGCTATCTGCACGTCGCTCTCTCTCGAGTCGGCGCTGTACTTTGGGTCGAGAGCCGTGAGGCCCGCGTTGGGACCGGTGAAAGAGGCCGCAACTGGACCTCTAGAAGGCTCTGCTAGAGCCACAAGTGGGACGGCTTTCACTTCTTTACCATGGTGTAGTCCCGGCCTGCACCTTCTTGAAACACTGTGTGGAGAAAGACGAGGAGATAGACTAGAGGATTTCCAGCAAACTATGTAGCTATAAGCAATGAAACCCAGAAAATCCAGTGCTATGTATCTACATAATAGTACCTCTTTCGAGCTCCTCCGAACAAGAACGGCGACTTGAACATGTCTACTACAGCAAGCATTGCATCCACAGTACTCCTCTCTTTTTTGGACTGAGAAAAGCTAGCGGCTCGTTTTTATCTCACGTCGTTCTGAGTCCCCGCCTACTCAAATGAAGACTTCCGTTGATCGAGGGGGGGGGGGGGCAGAGAGCGAGCGTCTGTTCATGTCTGAGAAGAGCAGAGGACGAGCTAGGCTAGAGAGAGTGGCTGGTTGCGACAAGAGAAGGCCTCCACCCGATCTCACCTGGTTGTTCTCTCAGGTATCAACATCAGTTGTGGATACACACCGACTTTTTCCAGAAAGCAACCTTCAAGAAAATGGCGGTAATTCGACCCTATTTCAAGCCCTGCCAGCTGGAACAGAGGGTGTTTCTCTCCTGGACCAGCAGACCTACCGCCAGTGGAAATCGTTCATGGGGCAGCAGAAACTCTCGCACCCTCGTCGCTTGCGTCGCTCCACCATAATCCTCCAACCCTTCACCGCTCCCTCCCTCCCCGGCTACTCACTCTCCGAGGTTGCCCCCGTCGTTTTGCAACACTTACAGCGATTCTGCACGGCTTTCTTCAGTGGGATGAGTGTGGAGCTCGCCCCTTCTCTGAACCTAAGGTCCATAGCAAGTCTTACGTCTCGGGTTCACACGAGTACAAATAGAACACAGTACCTTGTGGGGGACATACTGGCGTATCTCCAACGCCACAGACCGAGCCACGCCCAGTGTGTAATGGGTGTGGCCACAGTCGACCTCTACCCGAGCCCCGAGTGGAACTTTGTCTTAGGCCACGCCTCCCTTACAAGTGGGTGTGGCATATTTGGGTTTGGACGCTATTTCTCATCGCAGTTTTCAAGTACCGCCCCCACCGTTGAACATCAATTAGGCCAGCTATGGGTGTTAGCGAGAGTGGTCACCCATGAACTCTGCCACACTCTGGGAATGAAACACTGCTACTATTTCCACTGTGCTATGAACGAGAGCACCTCCATCGAAGAGGCGGCCACCCAGCCCCTATTCCTATGTCCGGTCTGTCTCAGGAAGCTAAAAAAATGGCTCAGATTCGACATTTTTGAGAGGTATTCTCAAATGAGGGAAGTCCTTGAGGAAACTGTAGAGGTGATAAAGGATGTTAGTCCACAGGTTTCTCTCTCTGTCCCGGGAAACTATCACACTTCCCAAGAACCGGGAGACCACCACTGTGATGCTGAGGAGGGAAAGGTCCACCCTCCAAGTGAATCCGTGTTTGTTGGTACACACGGGCCAAATAACGGTTCGTTACCCCAGGGGTTTCAACTGCAACGTCTGCAGGCGGCGTGTCAGTGGCTTCACACTGCCAGAGAATCAGCCCACAACTTTTGTCAGTCGTGAAACTAAACACAACTCGAAAATTTGGCGTTTGGCAACCAATATTTTATAATGGTGTGTTCAGAATCGGCATAATTATATACATGGTGCACAATGTTGAAATCTGACGGATACAAAAGTCAGAAGAAGGCTTGTAGTCCAGTGATGGCTCGGCCAAGAATGAGAGCATGGATGTCGTGTGTCCCTTCGTACGTGTTGACTGCCTCCAAATTCATCATGTGACGGATCACATGATACTCATCACTCACACCGTTTCCTGGACAACAGCAGCAGGGAAAACACTAAAATGATGTCTTTGTTTTGCTCACACCTCCGAGCATGTCGCGAGCCAGTCTGGCAGCTTCCAGAGCTTTGCCACACGAGTTTCTCTTGATCAGTGACACCATCTGAGGACTAGATCTGTGGAGGGAATTTACACACAACCACGCAGGAACACACGAGCATTTAGCTAGAAGGTGCAGTACTCGATATACAGTGATGAGGCTGAAAAAATAAAGCAATTATTGTGTTCCGCTCACTTTCCGTCATCCATTAGTCGGCCAACTTGTAAACAGGCCTGCAGCCCTATTGAAATCTATTGGGGAAGGCATATATACATACACTTAATGACTGGGATACTGCAGAAAGTATGCACAGCAGACTTCTGTTAGCATGTCGGCCATTTTCTTCTGAATGAGCTGATTCGCGGCAAGGGGTCGACCAAACTGCTTTCTAAATTGGGGGAAAATGAGAGGGGGTACCCGATTATGAGGAACAGGAACAAACAGTTTATACACCGGCCAGTTGATGTCATAGTGTGAGAGGAGTTTACCTGTTAGTATGTACTGCATTTATTATACATACCTGTCAATGGTGTACTGTCGTGCAGTGTCAAGGCAGAACTCGGCAGCTCCTAGCGCTCCCCACGCAATGCCGTATCGGGCATTGTTCAGACAACCAAACGGCCCCTGGAATGATGACAGAACCAATAGTATCCACACTATAATGTGATGCATAATTATACCTTTAGTCCCGACGCTTCTGGAAGTAGATTATCTTCAGGAATCTCTACATCTTCCATCACTATCTGACCTATAATTATACTCGTCATGTGATAATCATGCAGGGGTCACATGATATTAAACTAACCTGTGACTGAGGCACGCAGTGAGAATTTTCCTTCAATCTTTGGAGCTGACAATCCCTTCATCCCCTATTATGATATCACAGTAAACTAAGATTAAATGGTGAATCTGACTGGGTAAAGTGCAGACACTAACTTAAAGGGAATGTGTCAGTATATGAGTTAAATTTAGAAATGTTACTAAAAGTGGAACGTAATTGCATTCTTTCACTGTGCCGCTACTGTTTTGTTCTATCTTTAGTAACGTTTTAATAATACGTGTAATATATATACTGTACCTTCTCCAAAATAAAGCCTCTGATTTTTTCATCTCCCTGTGTCTTGGCCACACGACAAAAACGTCAGCGATTGGAGAATTGGTGATCCTGTGGAGACAGAGCAAATGCAGTCTGCAGCTATATATAGTTACGATACTCCCTTAATGGGAATTTTGCAGTATGTAAGGGCTAAATTTAGAAACTGCTATATACTGAAAATTGAAACCTAATTGCACAGGGCCCTATTGTTTAGTCTTTTATCTTTCTAAATTGTAGTCCTTATGTACCGACACAAGCTCAAGCAGCGAAGAAAAAATATCCTCCACTAACTATTATAGGACGCACCAAGACTTGCTGCCGGTGAGGGTGTAGGTACGGGAGGAGGGATTGTGGACTGCTCTCGTCTCCATGGAGTTGGGGTCGCTCCCGTGGTTGGGCTCCGTCAGACCAAAACAACCAATCAGATCGCCGCGAGCTAACAAGAGAGAAGAATGTAGACAGATGGAAAAATGTTTGAACAGTCTAAACTTTTAAGGCAAGCAAAATAGAAAATGTCTCGCAAATGCACACAATTTTTGCATAAATATTTTCTACCGTTGAAAATCGATGTATTGCATACCAAGAGGAGGGAGATACTTTTCTTTCTGTTGTTGTGAGCCATACTGACTGATGGGGTACATGACCAGAGAGGACTGAACACTCATGGCCGACCGATAACTACTGTCCACTCTATGGATGACGAGAAAGGAAGAAGAAAATGACTAGAGGAGTTGAAACTGACATTATACCGCTCAATTTCCCGTGCAATGAGGCCGTATGCGACGTACGAGGCCCCGGCACACCCAAATTCCTTCAGTGTGGGCCCCAGAATCCCCAGAGATCCAAGCTCCTTCATGATCTCCTGGTGGAAATCTACGGTAAGGGGAGATAGCACACTCATGCTCTCGCAGTCTCTCCTTTCTCATACGTTCGTTTCTGTTTGCCATGAGCACGCGTGGCATGAGCTTCTCCTGGCAGTAGTGCCTCACTTGATCCCTGGATGGTCACGTGATACATCACGTGACTAAATAGATGATGCAATTGGGAATTACCTCATGATGATCTCATCCTCGGTGAGTCTGCTCTCCAAATTGAGTGCATCTCTCCAGTCGAAATCAGCAGCTGTTCAAATACCTAGGTAAATAGGAACGAAGAATGCAGGACACCAGAATAGCTCACCACGTGACACTGCTGACGTTGTGCTGATGTCTGTGTTTTACTGGTCAAGGAAAATCAATAACTGTTGAACTAATTAGAGCAGAGAAAAATAGAGTGTATTTTGGATACGTTTTCTTGCCGAGAAGTTCCATATTCTGCAGTTCCGCCGCATATGAGAGCCAAACAGGCGCAGTGAAGACATCGCTGTTTCGTCGTCGATAGAGTGACCACGCCTATCTCGACACGCCCACAAATTTCGGCGACGGTTATGCGCATGCGCCTATACAACTACCAGTTATGCGCATGCGCCCACGCCCGAGAGCACGCAGAGCTAGCTAGCTAGCGAAGCGAAGGAGAAAAATGGCCGGAGCAGGTGGCAGGAACTTTGGAGCAGATTTCCCTCTGCAGTCGCCGAGAGGACCCGACGGTTTGTTGACACGACACTAAACATGCTTGTATTCGTAGCCGCGCCCTCGCAGATGTTGAGCTGAAGAAAATAATCGACAAACTAGCCAACTTTGTGGCTCGGAACGGGCCGGAGTTCGAGCAGATGACGATGAACAAACAGCGGGAGAATCCGAAGTTCCAGTTCCTCTTCGGCGGAGAATGGCACGCCTACTACAAGTGGCGTGTGACCACCGAAACTCAGCAGAATCAAGGTGTGTTCGGATGGTACTTGGGTACGTGGAGTGTAAGGACAAATTGAATGTCTTGGCTTGTTCTAGGTGGTTTCCAGCATCCACCAGCTGCAGTAGGAGGAGTGTCACCAATCCCACCGCTTATCCGACCGCTCATGTCTGTGGGGACCTACCCGCAAATCCCTCCCAACATGCCTCCTCCGTTCCCCCCTGCCCCACTCTTCAGAGGGGGGCCCCCTCCCCACGGATTTCCCCCTGCGTTTCCTCCGAACATGCCCCCTCTTTCCCTCCTTCCTCAGTCAACCCTGGCCCCTCCCTCTTCCTCCCAGAATCAACCGCAGCCGCTGTCCCTCATGGCAAGCAACCCTCCCTGGCAACAGCAGCACCAAGCCCCGCCCCCTACCAAGCAAGCCCCGCCCACTGGCCCAACCCACCAGCTTCAGCTGGTCTGTCAGGAGCTACAGAAGGAAATAGAGACGTACGGGGTGACTGATCCAATGGAACTTGAGTTTGGTTCTGTTGTAAAGAGACTAATGGAATCTTGCACCAAGGACTCCATCGCTGTGAGTCATACTTGAGGTCTCTCTTGAAACTCTTTTTTAACAGCACGCTTATTTACACTTACTCTTGTGTTTTTCTCTCTTTCTGCTGTCAGTCTGGAAAGGGGTGGATATTTGCTCACACTCATCAACCCGACGATTGCGCGAAGGTTGCGAAATTTCTACTCAGAAAGTGAGCACTTCCGACACAATGTCGTAGAATATCCTATCTCTCTCTCTCTCTTTGCCCCCCAGAACTCTGGACGGTCCTGGGGTGGGATATAACGAGAAACTCCACGTAATTTACCTCATTAACGATGTCATCCATCAGTGGTAAGCACCACCCCTAATTCAACACTCCAGATAATAAATACACACACGCATACACCACGCGACTATTTCAACACTCCTTTACAAACCCCCACACACACACACACCGTATACGTGTACCCGACTGTGTTCTGTACTCATGCATGCTAGCTGTATATATACGTAGCTCTGCATGGCAATGTGCATGATAATGTTGCACGCTGTACATACACATGTTGCATGAGAGAGACCCTGTGCCTGTGTTGTTTACTCGACTGCTATTCTGACTCATTGATAGTGCACGGAAAGGGGCGCAGGACCTGCTGCAGGTAAAACATCGTGTCTCCCTACCCTCCAACCCAAAGGAAACACTCACAGTTTTATTTCGATACGTTTTGTGTATTATTATATATCAGTCATGTCTTGTGCATTATCAATGCATGCATACATATGGGGCGGTAGGGGATGGCAAAGTATGCATAATATAACGTGTCTGTGTACACACAATATGCAAACATGGTTTAGGCACATACAAAGAGTTTCTTTGTCCATAGACCTGTGCTGTGCATTACGTACTGCACCGCACCATAGAACTGTTTGTGAACAGACTGCTACATACATACGTTAGCATGTTATATACGACCTCCCCCGCTCATGTGCATTATATCGACAGGCTATTGAGGACCTTGTGGTGCAGATGGTGTTCAACGTATACAGCAGTACATCTCCCGAGAATGTGGACACCCTCGTGAAGGTAATACACAATCTACAGATGAGGAGTTTTAGATAGAGCTGGAGTCCCATTCCCATTCCCATTCCCTTTCTTCTAACTAAGGTGTATGATAATAATACGAGGATGCAGGCAGTACAGTTGTGTTGGAGGTAGATGTGTTGTCTGTAAGAGATGTTCGTTCTGATTTTCGTGCCAGGTTGTGAGACTTTGGGAGGGACAGAAATACTTCCCCGACTCTGTGCTACTGGTAAACCAGTTCGTCGTTGGATTGCCGATCGATGTACGGTATTTTGTTTGCCTATGCCACACACACAATATACTCAGCAAATCCAAGAAATTGTAGAAGAAAGCGGAGGAAGAGGAGGAGGTGAAAAATTGGTAAGGGCTTTATTCGCCAACCCCAAAATAATACCTTTTGTCAAACAAGGGGAGAGAGAAAGAGGGAGGGGAGGGAGAGACGAAGGCTTGGTCTGAAGGGAACCAACAGCCCCGCCCTCCGTGGGAGACAGCTCAGCAGCCACGCCCACCCTGGGAGCAGCCACCACCCGACAACCAAAAACCTCCTCCCTGGCAACAGGGCCAGGCGGAGCAACAGAAACCTCCGCCTTGGAATGCGGAGCAGTCCCAAGTAGTGCCGCCGTGGCAACAAGACTCGCAGGGAAAACCTCCGATGCTGCCGCCATGGCAACAGCAGTCTCAGCCACACCCCTGGGAAAAGCAGCCAGAGTCAAACAACCCGCCGATGTTACCATGGCAACAGCAGCGAGCTCCACCCGCATGGCCTCCTCGACCGGAAGGTATAATAATAGACAGACCGAGTTCTTTCCCAACAAAAGTCTCTTCCTCGACACATGTATCAGGACTCCGCCCCCCTCTGTGGGGTGGCCACCCAGGGGCTCCCCCTCCTCCATGGCAACAGCAACAACAGCAGGGACCACCTCCAGTGGGAGGACCAACTCCTCTCTTCCCGCCCTCCAACCCAGCCGCTGTGTCAGAGCACCCTCCTCCCCCTTCTCTCCCCTCGTCTCAGGAAGACCAGAAACATCAACAGCAGCTGGAGTCAAACGATGGAGAACAGCGGGAAGAGGGCGGGCAGGAAATGGAGGAAGTTGAAGGTAACTTTAGAGGCACAATTTTCATAATTATGTACATGTGCTTCTTGTACACACTGTCTTTCTTTCTCTTGACCCGAAAGTTTTACTGTATGGGCTGTGGGAGATTTAAAAACCTTAGACAATTTCAAGGTTTAAAAAGTGTTCCTCTGCCATAATTTGTGGGTTTGATCTCCCTGTGCACAATTTGACGAGAAATCTGGAGACTCTGAAATGCGCCGGTGTGAGATGCATTTTGGAACGCGTTTGTTTCCCTGCTTCCCCAGCAGTTCCATCGTCTGGTGAACCTGGTGAAACAGGTGGTCCACCTCGCGCTGAAGGTGGCAGCAGCCCAGACCGAAACACACATCCTCGTGACGACAATGACGATGATGACAGGGAGCCTCCCGATTTACCCCCAGACGGCCTGCCACCAAGAAGACACTTCCTAGAGACGTTTGACTACCAACATGGCCGCCAGCTCGGGAGAGGGTTCAGGGAGCATTTCCATGACGACATACCCCCTCACCCACGTGAGGTGTATGAGTACAACCATCGCCCGCCTCCTCACTGGGATCTTCCTCCTCCCCCTCCTCACCACCTCCCTCCCCTCGATCCCCGAATGCACTTTGATTCATGGGGGGCCCCTCCTCCTCCCCACCTTCCCCTGCCCCCCGATCTCCCTCCTCCCATTCCTTACTATGACCTTCCTGCCGGGCTAATGGTGGCTGTCGTTCCTGTGAGTTTCATCTTACTTTACCATTTCGTCACTTAAGTTGCTTTTTACGCAATTTGCACTTTTATCACGTTTTAACCACTATTATTGTTTTGTCTGCAGCTGTTTGAGCACAGCTATAGAGCTCTGGACCCGCGAGATATCCGTCTCCCACCTCCCCAGCCACCCAGCGAGAGACTGCTCCAGGCCGTGGACGAGTTTTATAAGCCTTCCTCCGACGACAAGCCACGCAACGAGTTAGCCCCCCCCCTGTCCTTACTGCTACTGATTGGATTCATAATCTCTGTGTGTCTTTCTTTTGTCAGGGAAGGCTGGGAAGCGAGAGCATTGCTGGATTTCTTTGAAGCTAAGCACAGAGCAAAGAACAGTGCCCGATACCGACCAATGAGACGACTGCCTCCACGACGACCAAGGTACACACCCCTATTATTACCCTAACCCCTGCAATCTGTAATCATTACATATGTCTGCTGGGCACACTCAAGGTCTCGGTCCTATTCCAGATCACCACCTCCCAGAAAAAGACGGTATTGTATAACTTGGAATGAGATGCACGAACCTCACTCACATTTTTACTCTCTCTCTATCTAGATCTCGGTCGTACTCCCGTTCCCGATCCAGGAGCCGGTCGCGTTCCAGACCACCTCGGTCCAGGAGCCGTTCTCGCTCACCATCTAGGTAAACTCAAAGATTTATGGTGCTGTGGCGTATCAGATACATGTATACCGACTGATTATCCCTGTACATTACTCCTCTCAACCACAAATTTGACAGTTTTTTCAAACTGCAAAACTCACGAAAGTTGTCTTGATTTTGCCTCCATACAGTAGTGCAAGTATCAAAGCATGGTATAACTGTTGCCTTTCTCTTGCAACAGGCGTTTGTATTCAGACGACAAGCCACGTTCTCGGTCGAGGTCTCGTTCCAGATCCCCGCACCACTCCCGCAGTCGCCGAAGTCGCTCCCGGTCTCCGTTCATTCTAATTGCCGAGGACAGACCGCTCCCCCCTCCCCCTCCGGTGTAAGTTTAGCCACACCCCTCCCTTACTGAGCAATGATGGGGAAACCTCCACGCATATAGTAGAACGTCTGAATAAATTCTTGGAATTCTTGAGGACATGAAAAGTGTGAAGTAACTTCCATCAAAGTGTCCTTTAGAGTTGTTATTTGGTGGTGGTAATGGTTTCAATCTCAGGCGCAACTGTTTTCCCTCCTGCTTGCTGGGAGCTGTATGTAATTATACCGAGTTGTGTGTGTCCTTATGGAGAGGTGTCCTTTATTTAGAAGTTACATTTTACAGGGCTGTACAGGCGTCCACTGAGACTAAACTCGGAGGTGGAAATGTTGGCCATCAACTTCTAAAGAAGATGGGTGAGACTGTCTTTCACACACACCTGAGCATGGGCCAGAAGACTTGCATTGACCCCCCACAAATTATGTGACATCCTGCCTGAACTCTGTCCTGGTTGTCAATATGCTCACAGCAGCATATATACAGTGTCAGGCTTTGCCTACCAGGGCAGTTGTGCATTACCCCGACTTCCTTCTCTTCAAAGGCGCCTGGAAAGATGCACTTTCCTTCTCTTCAAAGGCGCTTGGAAAGATGCACTTTCCACTTTTAATGATGTGTACACGCACATGACAGCACGCACATGACAGAACTACATGTTTCTGTGCTACCTTACTTTCTGTGCACTGCATGACATGGTAATATTACTGGTCTTGGTAGATTTGTCGATTTTATAACATCGTATGTATGATTGTATGTATGTGTCACTGATCTGTGTTGACTGGTGTGTGATGCTGTGGCTGCAGGTTGGGAGGAGGGGGCGGGGTTAGGGGCCAGAGAACAGGGGATACAGGAGCCAATAAAGGGAGGGGAGGTGAGAGACAAGAACGACAAGTACAAGGTGAGGTTGGAAACACGTCTCCCCTCCGTCGCAGACAGAAATATACGTCTCTTCTCTCTGTTTCTAGGGGGTTGGTATGGACATGCAGGATCCGTTTGAGCTCTTTAGGAAAAACAAGAGCTATACGTTCAATAGGTCTCGTGCCCCACCTTCCCCACCTTGACTATCCTGCTGGACGCTATAATGGGGAGCCACCCTATTAGCAAACATCATAATGACGTCATGTTCACGGCAACACCCATCATGCATGTCGCGTATTTGTCAACTTCTTGTTGTCTCTCCATTTTCACCTTTCACCTCTTGTCGCCCCCCTCTTTGAATCGATTTTATTGAATTGCTGCTAAAATAATTACGATATTAATAAACAGTATTAATATTAGTTTTTCAGCTCTCATATATCACCATGCTCTTTTGTCCAATTGATGTATCTTGCCACCTTCTCGCTCTCCGCGACCTTCCCCGTGTATCTTGTGCTCTCTCTCCAGCGGACTCTGTCCTCACGTCTTGTCTTCCTCCTCCGAACTGCTGTAGTCCAATCTCAGGACTCCACCCTCTATACCCCTCACTAATGAAGACTCCTTCATCACACACTCGTCGATTCTGTTACCACTAAGTTCCCCTGTTGTCCACTGTGACTTAGACGAGAGAAAATACGACGATGGTGCTCTTTGCATCCCTGGGGGTCAACACACACACACACACACATAACACAGTCGTAATAATTACGACTAGGAATTTGATCGTCTTACCAGCTAATGGCCCGCCAAAGGACATCGGTATGTGTCAAAGATCTATTGCTGTTGGTATATACAGCCACAAAGGATACTCGAACCCATAGGACACGGAGGACTTTTCCTCTATTAGATTAGCTAGCTGTCCTCGGTATAGAATACTGTAGAATACCTTCGGAAAGGACATGGAATTCTTGTGAGGTAGAACTTGACACGGGCTTCTTGCTGGACATCTGAGCCCACGAGGAGAACATGTGGATGACATCACAATGATGTCACCAACAGGAAACTCAAAATCAGAACTACTACGTTAATTGACGCGGTAGAAAGAATGGGCCAACCAAAAGGAAAAAATTGACAGTTGGCGCACACATCCACTGTGCTATACACCACATGATACTGATAGCTACTTGAACAGCATAAGATGTTCCCTTCCATGTGACAATTCACTGCTACCAGTGTATTCTCTTGTGTATAATTGCAGTGCATTAACAACACGAGTATCTCCTTGCAAGTGATTATTGCAGTGTGTTGTTAATGGGTGTACAAAGTCAGTCAATCTGTATCGTGTTTCAGAACACTCACTTTCTCTTCCTCGGCCAATAGAGGTGAATAAAGCCTCTTGATCTGAGGTCCACTTGCCTCTTTAGCCGGCTCCGTAGACTGCCCCTCCCTATGTCTCTTCCTCTTGTAGCCTCGTGGTTGCCATGGCACCACGTCCCGGTAGCTAGGGTCCAGGGAACGTACCTTGGCAACAAATCTGCAGGGACAGAAAAGAGAGTGTCGCCAACAACCAGGGACCTCAGCCAAGACAAATCCTCAGTCACACCAACACACACTCAGTGTAAGCTCCACAGCCTGAGCCACTCTGCCACTTCAAATGAGTGTAAAATCACAGTTTCTACGGAAGCCAGACCTCATATGATTGGTCACTTAGAGCTCTTAAGCATTAGACCCGTGGAAAAGTGTCTGTTGAGCAGTGGTAATAGTTTTTTGGCTCTAGTTCCAAGCAGCTGGCTACCTCTGGTGTCAGCATTACTACGTCACACATTTCAACACAGTTTTAAGAACCAAAGTATATAGCGAGTTGCATCACGTGTAGAAATTTTTCACCGTTTATGTTCTCGCTGCAAGTGGTCGATTCTCTCCTGAAATTCCTCGATCTTTGCATCGTTGTGCTTCCTAGATCCAGTCCCTTCTATCTGCTGAATGGTATAAACGCAGACAGATTTCCATCATCTATGTACATATCTACATGATCTGTCTAGACGACTAGACTAGGAGTTGAAGTACATACCTACCTTCAGGAGGTAGCTTATTTCTTTCTCTATGGACGGTATCCAACCCTTCACGTCTTCTGCAGACGCCAACCTGCTCTGGTGGAGGCAAGGAGAGGGCAATGGATGAGCAAGGTCTGAGATTACACAATATCTCATTTGTAACTGAGTCTGGCGAAGGTGAGGAGTGTGGGAAGGGCTGGAGAGTGCAAATATCTCATTTGTAACCCTGTAAACTGCACAGTGTGTGTGTGGCACAGCTGAAAGAGGATATTGTGACCTAGAGCTCAAGTCATGATCCACCACACACACACACCACTAGTAGTCACATGTTGCAGGAAATCAGGCTCAGTTGTAAGGTATCTTCATAGGAAAAGGGTGCATTGGTGTGCATCACTAACTTCCTCAATCCACCAGCATACCCACGAGCACGCGCTACTTCGCTGCAAACGTGCTTCCTGTGCTTGGCCTAATAGCTCACCAATGGAGGCCTCTGCAGCTCTGCATTTCTCTCTGTAGGGAGTAACATTGAAAGGAAAGGGTGTTTGGATGGCCCATTGAGTGCTCACTGGTTTCTTTGGCTTCTAAGAACCTGTTCAACCCAGAGAGCCTCTTCTCGCTGTTCCGCGCCATGTTGGTGGCTCCGGATATCACGCCGTGCACGTCCGCTCACGTTTTCAATGCGCGCTCAATGTCCGGATAATACGACGTGAACGTCCGCTTACGTTTTACAAAGTTCCTGTCGGGTCAGCACATCAAAGAGTTTGCAGCAACTTTATAGCTGCCATTCTTCCAGTATTGCTTATAGACTGCTGTTGAGTATAGCTAATGGTGGGAGCCGTCTTTCGTGTTTATAAGTGCATAGGCGTACCAGTTCAACATGGGAGAAGCGGTGAGTGAAATAGCAAAGTTTAGAAAGGCGTTTGCAAGAACCCGATGCCGTATCTATCCATGACGGCCCGGGGAAGTGATAGGCCTTGTGGGTTCCATTTGAGCAGTTCTTTGTGTATGACGTGCTAAATGGGCTGGGCTGGGAGCTCTGCAACAGAGCTGGGCCAGCAGACAGCACCACCCATAGAAGTGTATGTACATATTAGCTGTCGGAGAATTCCGATGCAATTCACGGCCTATGAATTCCTGAGACGAGTATATATATATACACATAGCCTGCATTTATGGCTCTCTGTCTGCTTTCTATAGAGCTCGATTCAGCCCTTGCACAGTAATTCTGCATATAAACTAAGATCGTGCTTTGGAGATCCAGAGAGTGACTTTTTGCATAATATCGCTAACACAGAGCGTCTCCGAGGGAGTGACGGCGTTGGGACCATATCTGCTGCTGCTGGTGATCATGGCCGTCCTGGGCTCCTTAGTCGGCGTCTTCACTTTTTGCGTCAGGAGAAAGGTAGGCGTGTAAACTCGCGAAAATACCTCGCGAATTACCGCGCTGGCGTAGAGAACGGCTAGACACGCTGCATCATTGATGTGTGTGGATGTTTGCTGCAATTAGCTCGGTATTATGGGACTGGCGTAGGGGGCAAACGAGCGGTGGTATTCATGGCTGGCTCACTACAGGCCGCCTACAAGTGTGGAGGCAGAACTCTGTTACAACAGAACTGTCAACACACTGCTGTGCCCACACTAGCTGGCCTCCACCCTCGCTCGATCAACTCGAGCTACACATACTCTGCAATACCTAGCAGCACTCCCCCAGTTAGTTATTGTACTTGGAGCGTTGGGCAAGGTATGTGCGTGCGTGAGAGTTATAGCTACACACGTACAAATCTGTAGTCGGTACAAGAGACTACTTATGCTGCTGTTTGTTGGGCCGAATTCAGTGCGTTAGCTGGTGTTGTGTTTCTATTCAGTTCTTAGTCGGTCTCTATAGCTGTGCTAACCTACTACAGCTAGTCATTTATAGCTGAGCAGTGTAGCTGGACAAGCTGATCGGTGTATATAGCTTGACAAGCTCCTCAGTACAATAGCCACTATAGTAGTGTAATAGTAGTAATAGCCCTTGAGGACTAGAACTGCCATGTTTCTACCTACCAAGATGTCTGCAGGACATTAGTGGTGTCTGAGTGCATGATGGGTACATGTTGGTCTAAAGAGGTATATACGTACTATGTCCCCAGCACTTAGAATGTTGCAGACTGTGCATTTAGTAGGTATATATACATGTAGTTTCATGGTGAAATGTGGGTAATGTGTGTGTGTCGATTATGCAGTGTGCCCCTTATGTTCAGTGTGCTTGCTGACCCGCTGTTGTGGCTGTGTCTAACCCTGCCCCCTCTTGCACATGTTGTTGTTCTTCTCGGGCCAGCCTTCCTCTTTGTTTGGCTCTCCAGACAACACAGCAGGTTACTCAGCACCTATAAGTCAGTTAGTGTTCCCAAACGGGCACTCTTGAGCCAGTAGCTATGGTAGTTCAGCTCTATTTAGCCCTCCCTAGGCTGACCTTGCCTCCCTACCTGAGTTGGTTTCAATTTAAGTAACACAGCTATGTATAGCTATGCTCCCTGCCTCCACAGACAGCCTAACAAGCTCTTTTTTTCCGAAAATGCATACACCTCATCATTTCAGCACAGCAAGCAAAGAATCTTAGCTCATAGAGGTTGCATAGTGTAAATGAGTTATGAGGTGGTATGGCGTGTACAGTCAGTATATAGGCTCTATGGCTGCAAGGGAGCAGAGAAGCTCTAGCTCAGTGACAACAGAGCTCTGAGTGTGTTTCCAACAAATGTCTCCGTTGCTCCTGAAATTGACAGGCTGCTGCTTGTATTCCTGTGTGTGACATACGCGCCTGTCAATGCCAGCAAGACTGTATAATTATATACACCATATCAGCAAGACTGTATACACCACATGTACTACAGGAACTCAACCACTTTAGCACTTCCCAATTAGATTTGTCAATTCCGCTAGAGTCAATGAGGAAGTGTAGGAGTAACAAGGAAAGGGTTGGGTATACCAAGAAATACAGTCTGGGCATTTTGCTACTAATGTGTATACTTGTACGCCATTGGGCAAGTTTTTGCCAAAGTATCGATGTTTGCATGCCATTGTGTATCCCCCGGCAACGGTCATTCAGGCAGGGCTGATTGGATTCCATCAGGCACTTAGTTAGCGTTTGAAGTATGATATTAGTAATGAGGTGTATACATAGCTTGTTCAACTCGCTGTTGTGTTCTGTTGGAATGTATTGGCTGAGGAGGGGGAAATAATGATTACGCATGACTATAACATCAACATGTATCCCGGCAAAGGTGTATTGGTGTGATTCACTTTTGATGTTAAAACCTTGTGTGTGTGTGTGTGTGTGTGTGTGTGGTTGTGCAGCGTGCAGATGATGCAGTCAGTCGAAGGAAGAAGACGGATGAAAGGACACAAGATGACAAAGGTGGGTGCTGCATGCTATATATGTTAGGGGAAACACTCACACACACTACAGTTACACACTACACCTGTTGTCCCTACACTCTCACTAAGATGGTGTGGTGTGTGTCCAATTGCCTCCAAGGCTGTATCTGCCATCAAAGTAGTCGTTATCACATGCAAGTTACAGGAAAACATCGTATATACATGGTATGCTGTTTCGGTGTACAAAATGCACAAATAGTTACAGAACCTACATGTGTTTGCATACATGTGGCTCCTATCCTTGCCGGCCCTGCATGCCGATCCATAATGGACCACAATGAAGAATGGCCATGGGTGCACTATGCATACAAATTAATGATAGTCCAGTGGAACCCCTCCAATTAGGACACCAATGGGGCAGAAGACTATTAGTTAGGTGTCCTAGGCGTCAAATTGCATGCAAGAACTGTCCTTGGGGGAAATAAAAGAGTATCCTTATTAGAGAGGTGTCCTCGTTTCAGGGGTGTCATTAGAGAGGGTTTCCCCATTTCCACACAGTTGTTGAGAGAGAGACATCCGTAGGGAATCGACCAACAGCCACCACAACCATAGAGGACAGGACCCATAGTGAGGCTGGAGCCGGCGAAAATGGGATCCACCCTGTAATCACCCGGGGAAACGAACAAAAGAGACCTCCGAATACTGAGCTTGGAGAGGAAGAAAATGGCGGCATCCCGGAAGATGGAGAACGTTTGAAAGTCGGTAATAGTGTCAGAGACGAGGAAGCCCCTGCAATCAAGGAGGAGACGGAGGAAGATAATGACAGAGGAGTGGGGGAGAGAGTGGGAGAGAATGGAATCGAGGAAGTTTTTGGAGCTGCAACAGAGCAGGTTAGTTGTCTGTAATTGTAGTTGGCATGTCGGTAAAAGAATGGGAGGTGGGTGGGGTAATGAATCACAGTCTGGAAGAGACACGCGTGCCAAGACACAAATTTGAAAAGCATGCCAACTCGTGTTTTGGGTAATTAGATTGAAAAACACTCGCTTGTCTGCGTTTGAGAATTTGATTAAATGCGACATGCTTTCTCGTGTTCTGAGATTAGATTAAGCTGTTGCTTCTCTCAGGGAACTCAAGAGGTTGCCACGGTGAATGGCGGGGAGGCGGTTGCCATGGTGAACGGAGAGGTTGACGGTTGTGAGGTGGTTGCAATGGTGAACGGCGATGCCGGGAAGAGGTGGAGTTTTCCGCCGCTACTGGAGGACTTTGACCTCATGAATTCGGACATGGACCCTGCCGAGTTGGAACAGTTGTTTGCAGATGACAGGTGGGCCCTATTTAGACCTCAATAATGACTGTTTCTTCCTATATAGCATGAATGCTGGGCAAAATTCCAAGAATTTTTACCCACAAAATCCATAGGTTTTCCTCTCATAATTATTACTCAGAATGTTAGAGATCTATTTGGAACTGGAACCGGACAGTCCTGCACTGGGAATCAGCATCGTTGGGGGGAGTGGCTCACCGAGCGGGGATCTCCCTATCATTATCAAGAGGGTCCTTCCCAACAGTCTGGCAGAGCGTGACGGCAGACTCAAGTCTGGAGATGAGCTCATTGCCGTCAACGACACTCTGTTAGTGGGGGTGGCCAAAGACGTTGCCATAGAGACCCTGAGCAATTTGTCGGGCAAAGTTCGTCTGTTAGTATTACAAGAGGATTAATTGAAGTGTTTATTTCTGGATGTATGTCAAGTTTGTATCTTGTTTGTATCATGTAATAATCTTTTGTACTAATTAAAAACGTAATAAATTATAAATGTCATGAAATGATTGTTTGATTGTGAAAAAGCTGATGTAATGATGATGTCATGACGGAGTTGATACAGAGAGTAGGAGGGTGTTGCCGTGGGAACAGACAATGGACTGAATGGACGATCCCTCAAAGAGGACTGGCTGTGGGTAACATGATGACTCCTCCTTGTACTCCCTCCCCAATCTCCCCCTCTTCCCACTGCCCCACGAATACACCTTGTGATCTGGTGTGTGTGCGTGTGTTCGTACAAAACATGCAGGCATAATCTCGGAGCTTCAGCTCAATAGCTAGAGCTCAAACAGTGGCACGGCACACACAGCTAGTGAGGATGCCGACCTTCAGTGGAGATAACGGTGAAGCAGTCACCGCAGGCGACGAGTCTGACTGGTCCCCTCTCCCCCAGTGACTCCACCACTCCAGGGTCCCTCTCCCCCTTACCCTTGGGGTACCCCAACTGCCCAAACATGTTGTCCCCCGAGGTTATCACCTCACCAACATCTGGGATAAGAGGGAAGAAGAGGATTTGAGCACCTTCTGCTTGGGCTTACATTTTTGACCCCTTCGCAGTACAAAGGTATCGTAGTTTTAGCAAGTAGGTGGAGGGAAAGGGAGGACAATTAACCAGCATACTAATCGTTGCTACACTGCCTACTGCCTACTGCCATGCTAAAACCTACTGTTCCTGCATGCTATATACTAACCGGTAACCATGGCGGTATGGTTAGTTCCCACGGCAACAGCAACTATATTCCGCCCCCTTATCAGCTGGCTCCCACTCTCCCTGAACACTTGTGCCTCGTCAATCCGACCTTTGACCTCTCTTCCGGTCAGTCAGGGAGACACGTCTAGTTGTTGTAGGCAGTGAGGCTCCGCCCACACTGTGATTGGCATCTGGTTCTCCAGATTTCCTCAACTGCAGAATAAGATTAACAAGAAGAAAGGGGTATTTTACGTATGACACGGATTCCTCAAAATTGTTCCCTAGCTGATGACCATTAAAAATTTGGGTCACCAAATTTTTTCATTCCACAGAATTTGCCAGTTTTAGTCAAAATTTTCAGGATGCTTGTCATTTTTCTCACTTGCTTGCTAAAAGTACGCAAGTTTTTTGGGCACCTTCTTATGTGCTCGCTAAAAAGTACAAATGCATATGTATGTATGTACTACACTAAACCCTATGTATAAAGAGAGCTCCCACAGGGGCTCCACCTTAATGGAGGACATGACAAAGGAAGAAGTGGAGAGCTGCGTTGGGTCCAGAAGTTTCAGGATGGCTGGCTGCCCCTCCCCTTCCCTCGTTTCCTGAAGGAACGAGAGAGGGGGTGGAGCCAACCCAGGCTGTGGGGAGGGGCTTGCGAGAGTTCGAGGGAGTCGCGACTGAGCGGGTGAGGACTCCGCAGGTTTGTTCACTCCTGATTCTAAATGGAGCCCATCGTCTTTGTCGGCAGGAGGGAGAACAAGGGTGTCATCATCTTCTTCACCATCTTCAGTGGCATCAGTGTCCAGAGTCAGTTTGTTGAACCTGGAGACGAAGGGGGAAGATTTTTTATTAGTAGATGGAAATGTTACTCATGATGCCAATCAAAAAAACTCATGGAGTATGAAAAAAGTTATATAGTACATGCACACATGAGAGTCATTAGATGGGGTGCATCATTTAGAATCCCCCTCCCATCGAACCTGTTGTTGCCGGCAGCCAGGAGTCTGCCAGTGGAGGTGATGAGGAGAGAACAGTCGGAGCCGCAGCAAACTGCCGCAACTTTAACCCCGTCCTGCCCCACGGAGAGCGGGGGAGGGAGGGTCACTCTCTGCGGGGTGGAGTAGCTGTCATGGCTACCCAGACCCAGCTGACCTGCACGAGGACAATCACAGCAAACTTACGGGGGGAGACAACTTTGCAAAGTTCGAGATTTTAGTAGTTAATTTATACTGTGGGATAAAGACAGTTTGCCTGTGTTTATGTACGTAGAGCTACACAGCTAAATTTTACACCAATGTTTGTAAAATTTCTAGTACATCCATCGCACAGAACATCAATTAATTTGTGGTGAAAAAAAAATTTCTGCTCACCATGATCTCCTCTTCCCCAACTGAACACTTCTTGATCAGCTGGGTATAAACACAGAGAGAGATGACCAGCAGTCTTATGAGCAGTAAAATATCTTGTCTACCCGTGTATCTATATTATGTATATACCTGTGACAGCGACCACGTGGGCCTGGCCGCAGTCAACCTCCACTGTTTCAAAGTCCAGCATCGCTGGCACCAACTTTGGCTGGAGGGGAACATTTACACACGTCTACACACGCTCACTAACAAACATTCTCCATTTCATATAGGGTTGGGTTCAGATGCTTGGTATAATTTACCTCAGGTGCATCGTCGTAGTTACCGTAACCAAGACAACCGTTCACTCCGCTCCCAAACGTCATAAGTATGCCTTTATCTGAAAAACAGTCAATGAGCCATTGTACTACGACAAACTGGTTTGTCAAACCGGTTAAACAGGCGTAGTACATGTCGCCACTGGAGACCTTCCTGATGAATGCAGAGGATTCTCCAGTAATTAGCTTAGTCATCATCTCCTGGGGGGTCTGGGCGGGGCTCTTTGGGTGTGGTCCCAGCGTCATGGCAACAGCACTAGCTGGCGACAGAGAAGACTGCAGTTGAATAAGAGAGACGGAGAAAAAGGAAGGAGAGAGAGAGAGAGAAAGATAGCGAAATTGACTAACTGCTGACAAACAGAGCTAGCATGATACAAGATACCAAGTCTAATGCATCTTAAAATTAATGTATGGGTAATCAACAAAGTTGTCAAAGCCTTTGTATTGCATGAAATGGACCACATTTGAAGCTACATGAGAGTGCGTAAGTCACGTAACAAGATTGCACTGGCCTTAACCTGCCACAGAAAGAGTTTTCCATCCTCCGTGACCCCCGTCTTCTGGCTCCGCCCACAAGCCATGCCCACCACCCGAGAGTCGGAGGGGGAGGGGAGGACGAGGGGGAGAGGGGTCCCGTTGCCCCACATGTAGACAGTTGTCTGGAGCACAAACTTGAGACTGCCTGCCGACTAAGACAAACAAGAGAGGAGGTGACCCAATACTTAAACCCAGTACATACATGAACAGTATACACAACAGGCTGTATAGTGGAGTAGACGATCAATGCAACTTGGATGACTATGTCGTATGCACGTTTCACTTGTCAAATTCCCTACTGATCTCTGGCGATTAACCCCAACCTCTCCAGTGGCGGTGCTGTACTCGTCCTCGAAGAACGACCTCTGCCTCACTCCTTTCCTGAGTCCAGACCCCATCATCCCAGACTCGGTTCCAGTCTCCACCCCAGAGTCTGACCTCCGGCCCTCCGGCTTGGAATACGGACTGACGACAATATAATGATTCGGTACATACATACAGTACATAGATACACTCACACAAAATTTAACAACCAGCAAATTTGTGCAAACAGCAAATGGGTGGGGTGCTATAATTCGGATCATAATTGTATCTACATATCATGCACGTATACAAGAAACACACACACACACACACACACACATGTATTTCAACAGATTTGTTGGATATCCCCTAGGCAAATGACATGTATGAACCCTGCTTGCACATGTAGGATCGTATAGGCTGATAAAATCCCCCAGTACCTGTCGGTTACGTAGGGATATCCAACAAATTGTGTTATTGTGTTTGCTGCATGTGCCTCTCACCTATCAGTACTGACACACACACTGACACCATTCAACACACACTGACACCGTTCAACACACACTGACACCGTTCAACACACACTGACACCATTCAACACACCGTGTGCAGGGCAGCCTCCCTATATCTGTACTCAGGTTCATGAGGGGGTTCACGACAAACGGGTTTGCCATGGCGAGGTGTACGTCAGGGCGGTCATCAGGGTTACGCTGCAACAGCGAGTAGATGAGGTCCTTGAGTCCGCGGCTGTAGCAAGATTCCAGAGGTCGCAGTGCCGCCGAGGCCTGCATTATCTTCATCACCAGTGCCGGAAGGTTCTAGAAGAGCAGGGAGCACACAGAGGGGGGGAGGGGGTGCATTTCACATCAGTGGACCCCCCAAAACTTACCGGTCCCTCGAAAGCTTTCTTGAGTGTGGTCAGCTCGTACAGAATGCAGCCCAGGGCCCATATGTCAGACTTCTTGGCGTAAGGCTTTCCCTCGCAGATTTCGGGAGAAATATAGCATGGAGTTCCAACCACCTGCAGAGCAACAACGAGATGTAATACAAGTTTTACAAACCTTTCTTCATCGTATAATTATACTCCCACCAATTTGTTTTTGCAAATGATTGTAAAAATTTCTATGTAATTACAGGCCTCCATTGACAAATTTGCTTTCGGAGAAGTTTTTTTTCTAATTCTATATACCAGAAACTAACTGTTTGGGCAGAGGTTATTTTGCTGGAGAGAACTTTGGAAATGCCGAAATCTCCGATCTTTAGAACCGTTCTCTTCTTGTTGAGCATGATGTTCTGGGTCTTGAGGTCTCGATGGAGGATGTTGAGTGAGTGGATGTGTTCTATGGCCACCAATAGCTGGGCAAAGAACTGTAGGATGTGCTGGGGGAGGAGAAGGTACATACATTATATGTACACATGTGTAAGGGAGAGTGTGAGTGAGAGTAAAAAGGAGACAAAGACAAGACTAGGGGATAGGGTACATTTTGGGGTTTGTAAATATGGTGGTGGTGGTTTTTATTTATTTCTCTATCTATCTATCTATCTATCTATCTATATACCTATGGCTGGTATGCTATGAACTATAATTTCATGCATACTGTATACCAGAGCATCTTCGAATGAAAAAAATTATCACATTTCTGTGACCAACCATGAATTTCGTCCTCAAAGTTTCCCGCTAGTTACCTCCTCCTCCATGAAGACTCCGTTCCTGTCCTGGATGAACTCGAAGAGGGTCCCGCCTGGAGCATACTCCATCACTATCATCAGGCTCTTCTCCTCCACAAAGTTGTCAAAGTAGGCAATGATGTTCGGGTGCTTCAAGATCGATAGAACTTCCACCTGCGTGGATCACGTGAGCAGGTCAGTAACAATAATACACTTCTGGTTTAGATGTATATACCTCATTCCGAGCAGCTTTTCGCTCGATATTTTGGAGTTCGTCCAGAGGGATCTGTTTTATAACTATCAGTTGCTGTTTCTTGACCTTCCCGCGGCACAGGAACACCTTCCTGGACAACGGGCGGGGGAAAGGGAAGTCGATTGATTCTAACTAGAGCACACCATAACAACATGACAGGTCCAAGGCACTCTAAACGGATCGGTGTTTATATTCGGGGTCCTATATTACTGCATGTGTAGAGAGGTGCTCACCCGAAGGCGCCTTGTCCTATTACACGAATCTTCTCGTACCTCTCCATACTAAGAAGGCAGGCTCAAGCGGCGAAAAACCGCACATGGGTGTGGGCTCCGGCCAACCAATCAAATTTGGCAAATCTCCCGGGAAATTTTGAAATTTGAAATCAAAATTTGACCTTCGCCGGTGCAAACAATGGAGTGTGTGAGATGCGTCGTAACGTTCGCTCTGAAAGAGGTTAGGACACCCTCAGACACCCACTAGAGTTCTTGTAATCTCCCCTCGTTTCTCTGTCCTCTCTCCTGTTGGCAGCTGCACTGGGAAGACCTGCCAGGCTGTCCCATTCACCTTCAGGGAGCACCTGTCTTCCTGAGAGCCTGTGTCCTGGGACAGCTGCAACATTCCTCTCTCTTTAGACCCACCTTCCCCCTCCTCCTCCATGGCACCTCACTCACCTTCGACAGGGTAAAGTTAGCTGTTTCTGTGTTATGGGTGATGGGGGAGAAGACACATTGCGACTGCAGGTCCTAACAAACTGTTCTGACCCATCTCTGCTTAGAGAGATAATAACTGGTGAGTATTGATAATCCACAGAGAGTTTTACTCTACACTCACGATGGTGTATCTATATGATGTAATCTGAATGGTCTAGGTGAACATGTGTTTCTGGAGATGGTACAAGTCACAGAGGACTATGAGGGTTAGACCAACCTATCCACTTCACTACAAAATCCAGTATTTTTGGCATGGTCGCAGGAGGAAGAATTTTGGCCCGCTACGAGGCCCCCGCTGATGAATTTCTGTTCCCCGAGGTTCCCCTGAGACCAGGACAACTGAGGACTCTGTCTCTCAACAAATCTCGGAATTACCAGGCAAAAAATATTTTATCGGTCTCCTCAAAATTTTTACTGACAATTTTCTACAGTATTGTCCCCAATTGATGCTCACCACTTCCACAGCTGTCACCAAAATCACCATAGCAACACCCTTCCCCTTGTCATCGCCGTGGAAACCACCAATTGAGAATACCCCGATGAAGACACCAAACCCCGCCCACAATACCAGACGACCTCCAAACCGACAAATGGGTGTGGCTGCAACAGACAAGCTCCACCTACTACTTGACAGCTATGCCGAGCCACACCCAGAATATTGTTTGGGGGGCGGGGCTGGAGAGTCAGAGATTAAGGAACCCCCGGGAAAAATTAGACCCCCCAACTCTAAATCGTCAATTCATGGAGGATCATTTGGGGGTCGAAAATTGAAAGTCAGGGGAACCCTCACAACTAACCCCGGGGGTCTCTACCACTGCTGTACTGTCAGTGTTGGACCCCACGAATGGACCTCGTGCCCCCGACGAAGCTACCGACAGCAGAGTCAGGGGGTCCACGGTCGCTGTAGCCAGCGAGGCCCACGCTCGAAATCTGCCCCCTCTCTGGAACTAGTGGGGGAACCGGAAAATCTTGACCCCTCACAGAGAGGGGTCGCAACTCGTCCGTTCATGGCAGGAAGAGTGGACAGAGGTCTTCTGGCAAAAAGAGACTTTTGCGGCCAGACTCCAGGTAAAATGGCCGAGCGAGAGAGCAGGGGAGGAGGAGGGGGACGAGTGATGGGGAGAGGGAAAAGGGGTTGGACTAGGGTTAATGTTGTCACTTCGAGGAAGAACGAAACCTCACTGCCTCAGTATGGGGCAAAAATTGATGAACCAACTCCAACTGAACGATGTCATACAAATTCAGTTACCCCGCCTCCTGATGATGTCGTCGATAATAATAGTGGGAGTGAAGCCACCAGTTCATCTGGTAATACCAGTGGCGACTCCAGCAGCTCATGTGACAGTCATGTGACAGGAAGTGAAAGAGGGGAGGAGCCTCCGTCTCAATCTGATGATGACATCACCTCTGATACAAGACGTCGCCATTCACCGCAGGTTTTTGATGATGATGAAATCTCTTTTCCTCTCGTAGTTTGTCTTTTCCTATTCTGCTCAAAATGTTTCCCACAGGCCGTGACGAGCATCTCCTGCAGACGACAGAGACATCATCTCCTCTCCAAATACCTTTCCCACCAGAATGGGAACGGGGGAATGGGAATGGACCCCAGTCCAACCACACTCATAGAACACAAGCTCCAGACACTCATCCAGGACTGCTGCGAATGTCGGGTATGTGCTCACCTGATGTCACATGACTTGCGCATGATCTTCTTGTCCTCTCAGCGGTCAGCGGAAGGTCTTGGGCGAGACGACATGAGTGAAGATGACGACAGATTGCGGTCTGTTTTCTAGTTTCACTTTCATTCTGTAACTCCTGCTATTCCTATATAATTATACAGAGCATCCCTGTCGGCTGAGAGGGAAGATCTACTCAATAAATCAGCCAAACTGATTCCAGAGAAAAGGTATTATAACCGTCTGTTAGAAGAACCTTTTCGAAGAGCCAGTTTCACTATGTTGCCAAAATGCCCGTCAGATTTGCAATACCTTATTTCCTCCACCGCCCGACCTTGCAAAAATCTGTGTATAAGGTTCTTGTTGGACTGCTTTCTTGCACATGTGCAGTGTGTTATGTAATGCATGACAATAGGGGGTGTGGTAACGTTCACTACACTTGTAGCCTGCCTCAAACTGCAAAAAAATTCACTTCGCAATGCCGTGTATGTATGAATTTCTCTAATCTTCTCTAACCACGACCAGTGTGTTGGTTGGTCTTGGAGGGGAGGAAGGCGAGGACTATTGGAGTCAGAAGATGGCCCAGTTTCAGGGGAAACACCATCGTCTGGTGTTCAACGAGACGATGGAGAAGATATACTCCAGACTCTACCAGAGAGCAATCAACATGAAATGACCTCCAGCAAACGTTCTTGCATTGGGACTGCAGTTCGTTAAATCTACTGAGTTTTTACTGATACTTGCGAAAGCTATAGTTTTATGAAGTTTTTTTGGAACAACTCAATAGTATGGATCATGAGCCGTATTATTATACATTATAATATAGCATTTTGACATAAATTGCTTCTGTTTGTGAAAACAGCCATAAAATAGAACTGCAGTTGATGTCGACACACAGAGTGATACATACAGACATGAAGAGCGGGTGATGGAATGTAATTGAAAACGGAACAGAAAAGGCGTTGAATCTAGTGTCTTCCATCATCGTCGTTGTCTTCGTCGCTGCTCCAGGCATCCTCATACACAGCTCCAGTGGCATTTGATCTTCTGGCGCGATCCAGTGATGGCTTCTGGAGAGAAAGAGTTTCTTTTGCTCACCACGAATATTTTGCAGGTGCCCAACAAATATTTGTGCCCTCTCTTAATTGGGGTAGACACTAACCCTTGGAGGAGGAGGCATCCAGCATAGAATGTTGGCATCAGTACCACCAGAATACAGCTCCTGGGGGGAGAGGGAGAGAGGATCCAGTTGGTCCGGTTTTTAAAACTGGTCAAACCTGTTCCACCGGATGTACGGCGAGACTGTGCACCTTCCCAAAGTGTCCCGAGAGGGATTTGACTTTTTTGCCAGTCGTGAGGTGAAACATGAGGACCTCCCCGCCCACAGGGATGCAGATGATGGGGTGGAGGGTGGACGAGAGAGGGGAGAAGGCCAGCGGGCAGTTCTGCTTTGGGAGAGTGTTGAAGACACGGCCATAGTTTACCTTTTGATTGAGGAAGAGAAGATTACCTCTGCAAATCAGAATAAGTAGAAGTGGGGTTTGTTTTTAGCTGCTTAAATGGTGTTTTTTTACCAGCACTATCCTAGTGGTAATGACTTAGTTTACCTGCATCCACATCAACGGAGAAAAGAGGATGTAAATCAAGTCGGGGAAATGGTATATAGAAGGAGGTTTATAGAATTTTACTCCAGTGTGGTGTGGTTTTTAGTACTGCTATAGCAGGGTGCTTTTTCTGATGCCAATGCTTTGTAGATTAGAAGTGTGACTCTTTAAGTGGTTCTGCTTGTGCAAGAGGTATATATACTGTTAGAAAAAGAGAGGAGGAAAGAGATGGGGGTCTGATGTACCAGTGTGTTCTTGCCAGTAACTGCGTCCCACAGTCTCAGTCTATCGTCAGTACCAAACGACACCAGATGAAGACCATCAGGAGAAAAACACAGTCCGTTCACTGATCCACCGTGAGCTACCGTCACTACAGAAATGTACAGCTAACACGACTTGGTCAGTAGTAATGCATACATCAGTATATACCTGATGGGTCACTGGATGCCCTGGATCCATTGTGTTGGTCTAATTTCGTCAGTGGACCATTTGCCTTACGGATGTCCCACAGTACCACACTGTTATCCTGACTGGGAGGAGAACCACTGTAATACACATGAATAGTGCTATATAGCACTCTTAACCTCTTAGTCAATGTGCATTATGCTTAAATCGTATACGAATAGTTAGTTGCAGACCCCTTGGATTTGTCAACTGTACCTCCTTATTGTACTTTGTATAGACCCAATGCTCCCATAAGAATTATCTATACACATACCATCTTAAAATTGATAGGACATTAAAAATATCCTTCATGGCACACAACTCTCCCTCTCTCTCTCTCTTTCCCTCTCCTCTTCTCTCAGTTCACTGAGCTCTGACTTCCCTCCCTCACCTGCCACTGGCGAGAACATGCTCACAGGCGGTGGACCAAGCCAGAGCCATAACAGGTTTGCTGTGTCCCTCAAGTACGTGAGACGAGGCTCCAGACACCAAGTCGCAAAGGGTTATCTTACACTCTCCTCCCCCCACCGCAGTCAGCGTGTGTGAGGTGCCAGTCGACATGACGTGGGTGTAAATGGGGTTCTTGAACTTGAATTTCTCAACAACCTCACGTGTAAAGAAGAGAGAGAGGGAGAAAAACTGGACGATACTTCATAGATTACTGTTGAAGAACACAAAAAAACTAGAGATTTGGGCAGAGACGAGGAGAGAGGGAGAGAGAGGATGGGGGCTCACTAGGAGATCATTGGTGTCCCAGATCTTCAGGTATCTGTCGCCGGAGGTGGTGGTAAAAATGCCCGTGTCGTGCGGAAACCACTGAACGACTGAGACAGCATGAGACGTGTCTGTATGGTTCTGCCTGTGAACCATTTATTGCTTATTACAGTATTAATAACATCCCTGAAATAAGGACAATTTTTATTAGAAATATTCTTGCATGAAATTTAACCCCTGAAATAACACACCTTACTAATATGGACATTTCCATTGGTGTCTGTATTAGAGTAGGGTTCCGATGCTATCTATAAGGGGATCACTTACGTTCCGTAGGTACTGACAGTGACGCCACATACGTACAGACCCTTCTCTCCTGCTGGTCTGGCGGTGTCGTGTATGGCAATGGAACCAGGTACGTCTCCACCACCGGATATCAGACTGCAAGACAGATAGAGTGTTGTCTCTATTGCATGTTGCATGACCCCATCATACCCATACATTGAAGTTGAACGAGGCTTTTGTATCACGGAACAAAGTTGCACTGTGCATGTCGGCCGTAACTCACTATCTGCCGTCACAGTCGAGGTCCAGGGAGTTGACAGCGGCGCTGTGGAACCGCCCCAGCTCCTTCTCCTTGCTCAACTCCAGCTCAGAGAAGCGCTGACTGCCGTACGAGCGCGGGAGGAACCAAGGTGGACCCAGCCCGCACTCACGGGCCGTGAGAAGTTGCAGCATGACCGTCTAGCTCATTTCTCAAGCCGGTAAAAGCCGAAAAGCGAAAATCGTCTCTCCAAGTTCATCACGTGCTCCCTATTTCAGGCGTTATGGGGTTAATTAGTTTTCCACGCCCCTTTCCTTGTTTGCCGGAAACTGTGAAGAATTAATTGATTGTCTGTTTACTTACTCAGTTGTCGTCTTCTCTCGCTGTGCAGTGTGGCTGTATTGCTGTGGAGTCTTCCTGCAGAGATTTCGAAGGTCGGAGCTGTGAAGTTCACGTCGGAACTGCAAAGAGAGCGCGGTCGCTCCTGGACCCGGATGCGGCAGTCCGCGGAGGAGTGATCCGGAGATAGCTAAACAACTGCAAAGGTTTCGCAGTTTACTAGCTGTTCCGTTCGTCGAGGATCGGCTGTGTGTGTCGGGATGCCCATCCTCAGCGGCCAGAAGAAGTCGGGCAGCGAGAGGAGTCCCAAGCACGTTCAGGGAGCCGGGCCCGGGGTCAAGAAGAACACTGCCACGCCCCCGCTCCCCGCTCCCCCGTCCCCAGCGGTAGGGGGCCCACGAGCGGCCCCGACTGGGGGTCGGAGGGTCGTCCCACCTCGACAAGAGCTGATATTTCACTGTCAGTTGGCTCACGGTAGCCCCACCAAGGAGATAAAAGACTTCACCAATGTCAAAGAACTCTATGCTCGCATTGCAGCTGCATTCGGCATCTCCCCAGACCAGGTTTGCCCATATCTATCGCCCCCACACACACACCTACGTCCTTCTTGTGTTGCTACATCCCGAAACCTTTTGCTGGTTTTGGGGCCTTTACGTGTATGAAAACTCATACAAAACTGTGCAATTCAAAGCAATGCACTGCCTTTTCGTGTTTTAGTTCCCATGGCAACACCTTGTAGTGCCCCTCCTACTGCCAACGCTTGTTCCCTCTCATCCAGTGCTACTTGCTGTACAGCAACATAGCGTGTTGCGTAACGAAACTTCTAAAAAACCTCTAGCCACGAAACACAGCTCACGCTGTGAGTGACTTCAATAGGCTCTCACAGAACCACTTACGGAGTGTGCGGTGTTGTGAAGTATGGTGGATGTAAGGGTCTTGTGTGTCCACTTAGCCCGCCAATCACTGTATAAGGACTGGCTCTAGTGGAGCCGACCACGGGTCAGTGGTCCCTGCCAAATGCACCGAGGGAGGGAGAGACTAATGCTTTTGAAGGCCCAGTATCACATAGACATGAGAGAGAGAGAGCAAAGGAAGGGGGAGAGATGGGAGTTTTTGGGGAAGAGAACGATAGATATTGGAAAATGTTATTTTGTGTGTTTTTGTTCGGCTTACCGCCTATCATGCACTGTTTAACGTGCTAATAACTTCCCTTTATGTATGCATAAGCTCAGTATTGTACAAGGTCTCTAGGCTCTAGAGAGAATGGGAAAAGATGAGAGAAACCGAGTGACCAACAGTATCGTAGATGCTATAGCAAACATATTATGCAAATAAGGGTTGGAATGATGTGTTGGTCCGTGACTTGTATGCATTTGTTGACATTCCCACTGCTAAGCCAGCAGTCTATAATGCTATAGTCTTACCTCTTACGTGAGAAAGCACTTCTGACGTCTACGGCCCTACAATTGCCGACACGGATGGCTGGTAATAGCCTCGTCTGTATCAAATGTCGGAATGTCATCTTCTATACATTGTACGCATGCCACTCAAGTAATGCTTTTGTGTAACAGCGTTTTGATAGAAGTCTCTCCCACAGTTGGTTATTGGACGCACCCACACATACACATGGTAGTATCTACATGTGAAATGCATGGGGGTGTGTGTGAGGAAAATGCACACAAGGTTCTGTCAATGAACGTGGTGCGTATGTAACCAAGTGAATAGAGCGTTGGCATTGGAAGTGATCCCACATGCTCTAATACCTTCATGTATAAGCATATATAGGTCTCTTTAAAAACTGGACGTGTAGCTAAAAATCGAGAGAAACGAAAGTCCTAGTTGAAAGCATACAAAATAGTCACTGAATAGTGTTCTTGGAGTGTAATAGCTGAAACACTGAGAAATGTTCCAAAATATTCTCTCCATCTCTCACTCTCACTCTCTCAGATCATATTCTGCACTCTCAACAGCCATAAGATCGACATGACAAAGTTACTCGGAGGCCAGATTGGTCTGGAGGACTTCATATTTGCCCACGTGAAGGGCACGGAGAAAGAGATGACTATAAACAAGACTGAACCGGCTCTCGGGCTGACCATAACTGACAACGGAGCTGGTTACCCGTTTGTCAAGAGGGTACGAGAGGGGAGCGTCGTGGCACAAGATGAGGCGGCCACTAGAGTGGGTGATCTCATCGTCAGTATCAACGGTAGGAGCATGGTGGGTTTGAGGCATTTCGACGTGGCAAAGACGCTGAAGGAACTGCCGCTGTATCAGGAGTTTAGTCTGAGGCTCGTCGAACCGCAGAGAACGTTCGGTAGGTTGCGTGTGTGTGTGTGTGTGTGTGTGTGTGTGAGTGTGTGAGTGTGCTTTCAAGCTTTCGCAAAATTTGAGAGTCATTTGTAAGCGTTTTCTCGACATTTGTGCAGCGATGGAAGAAATGCATGAGAAAGTATCCTCTGTGAGATTTGAATGTTTCCTGTTGGGCAGTTTTGGTGTACACATGTTTTTTGCCCACTAGGGCTGGCTTAATTGGCCACTGCTCTCTCGTAAAACCACTGCCTCTTCATCCAAAACCATAGGGTGTGGTTCCACTATAGTATTGCTGTGTTGACAGGAGTATCTTTGTTCTTTCATCAAACAAACATTGAAACTATAATATTTCACACTATATTTTTGAAGTGTGTATACCAACGAAGACCAAAGGAACCGCCTTTTGAAGAGTGGCTTTGTCCTAAGAGCTCTTTTTCCGCCCATGTGTCTACAAAAAATGCTAAATCGTTGACACGCTCGTGTAGGGGAGGATGTGAAATTTGGGCAAGAAGGGGATAGGTGCAGCGAGATGGAAGATGTTACCATTCCATACTCCAACTTTAATCAAAGCATTGAGGATAGTTGGGTCATCTCTTTTTCCGCTCATGTGTCTACAAAAAATGCTAAATCGTTGACACGCTCATGTAGGGGAGGACGCGAAATTTGGGCAAGAAGGGATAGGTGCAGCGAGATAGAAGACATTACCATTCCATACTCCAACTTTAGTCAAAGCATTGAGGATAGTTGGGTCGTCTCTTTTTCCGCTCATGTGTCTACAAAAAATGCTAAATCGTTGACACGCTCATGTAGGGGAGGACGCGAAATTTGGGCAAGAAGGGGATAGGTGCAGCGAGATAGAAGACATTACCATTCCATACTCCAACTTTAGTCAAAGCATTGAGGATAGTTGGGTCGTCTCTTTTTCCGCTCATGTGTCTACAAAAAATGCTAAATCGTTGACACGCTCATGTAGGGGAGGACGCGAAATTTGGGCAAGAAGGGGATAGGTGCAGCGAGATAGAAGACATTACCATTCCATACTCCAACTTTAGTCAAAGCATTGAGGATAGTTGGGTTGTCTCTTTTTCCGCTCATGTGCCTACAACAAATGCAAAATCATTGACACCCTTATATAGGGGGACAGCAAACTTCGATATGTGGTAGTACAATATAGCAAAATTTGGGCGAGATAGAGATAGGTGCAGCGAGACAAGATGTTACCATTCCATACTCCAACTTTAATCAAAGCATTGAGGATAGTTGGGTCATCTCTTTTTCCACTCATGTGCCTACAACAAATGCAAAATCGTTGACACGCTCATGTAGGGGAGGACGCGAAATTTGGGCGAGATAGGGATAGGTGCAGCGAGATGGAAGACATTACCATTCCATACTCCAACTGTAGTCAATTTCCCCCCCCTTCCCCCAGAGGGGATTGCCCCCCGGGGGTCAGGGAGGAAGCCCACCACTGCCTCAATACTGGACGGAGACCCAGGGAGGCTGGAACAGGCAGTGGAGAAGGAGGGAGGGAGAGCCACTCTCAGACTGAAGAAAGACGGACAAGCCACTGTGGAAGAAGTTGTGAGTCACCACTCTAGCGTCGAAGAGCATGGGCTGAAAACTGTGTACAGCCCCTATGCTCTATTTATACATCTGTGAGGGGTAGGCATGTAATTTATCCGCTATTATCATGGAAAATTTTTCAAGGGATAAAAATTTCGACATTTTTCTCCATAAAATTTGCTACCGAATCGCAAAAGCTTGAAACCTTTGCACTACACACCATCAACCTCTATTGCACTAATTTTGACATGGTATATACGTAGCTATCCCTCTCTGGTTTCTTTCTCTACAGAGGTCCTGGGAGGTGACGGCAGCCAGAAAGGCCGACGATCTGCTAGAGAGTTATGTGGGTATTCGAGACATGGAGCTAGGTTTGTTGCTTCGCCGTTTCTCAAAAAACCGAACGAAAAGTTTGAATTTGAACCGTCTCTTTCTCTCTTGCAGCACAAACAATGGTGGATCTGGGTAAAGCCAAGACCAACGTGGACGATTTCGCGGTTGCCATTGACAACAATCTCGGGGAATTTGAGTTTCCAGACGACTTTGTAATTGAATTGTGGACAGCAATCGAAGTGGGCAGGAATTCACCCGGATCATAGTCTCTCTTATTTTCGTCAACGTATCCATCTTCCGTTTCACTTTATGTTTATTTATTTGTTTGCATAGCACAATAATATTTTTTATATTGCACATCAGTTTCTATTCCGGATGGAGCGTGCAAGATAGCGACAGGCTAATCCGGACATCATTGGATTGTCCGGAATTTTTCCGGACGTGTGGAGTGAGGCGTGGAGCGTCCGGAATGCATGCTGTCGACCACGCCTGCTTTTTCGGTTTGGCGCGGAATGTCCTGAACACAGCAGTAGCCAAGACAGCTAGTATATACCAGCGAGGCAGGAGCCAGCTATACGTGTACGTATCAGTAGGCTGGAAAACAGTCATGGCGGCCGGCATTTGCCGTGTGTACCTCCTGGCGGCCTTAGTATTCGTCGCTGCGGCCGTTTTCTTCGTCATTGGAGCCTTGGGTACGTGACTGTTAGCAGCTACAAAGCTACCTATGTATATACTTTCTGTGTCGGGCTAGACAAGCCCCCGTGATTATTGTCTTTCCTATGGTTGCACACACGTGGGTCTTGGTATCCCTATGAATATAGGACCCCAGCATACGTGGGCCCACCATCACCCTGTCAAGACGTGCATCGTCGAGAACGCATTCCGCCACATCCTGGATCCCGGTACCGCTCTAGTCGACGGTACGGAATGCGGACGAGTCGGGAAACCCATGGACCTGGAGACTGAGCCACACAAACAGTACTATCCTCTGGAGAACATTCTGTTCCACGTCCAGATCCCGTTCCTAGACGGCCAGATCCTGTCTCGGAAATTTCACTTTGTGATTGCTGACCTGGCAATTCATTTCGACAACGACTTTCTCAAAATAGTCCTACGTACGTTTCAGAACTGAAATCGCTAACTTTCAGGACACCATTTCTTGTTTAGGACACAAAAAACCTGAATTTGTGAGGTACATAATCAGGACACCTTAACAATCAGGACACACTAATCAGGACACCTTAACAATCAGGACACACTAATCAGGACACCTCACTGATCACTAATTAGGACATTATTCTCCTCTCCAAATGCAGAACACGACATGAACTACGTCCTCATGGAGGTTGTCCTCGGTTACCGTGACAACCACCGGGGACCATGGCAACGGATGGCCCAGGGAAACATCACACGTACCCTCAGGTGTCACATGACTGAATGGGTTAGTTCTCGTTGCAACAGTCTAGCAGAACAAAATTTTGCTTGCCCGAGCCAAAATATTGTGTGAGTGAACCTCAAGCCTGAATTTTTCCAGCTATCCTGTATGCTTCCCTATTGATAGCCGCTAATGTCGTTTGTCAAATTCAATTGTGGCCACTACCGAGCTAGTAATTATGCACCGTCTGCTGGAGATAGATTGCAAATTTCGCTGATAAATATTTACTCTACAAAACAGAAGGCAAGAATGTGCCTAGAATTCTGGCAGGGCACCTGTGTGTGTGCATTCTCTATGAGCTCTATCACCAATCCGTGGCTGCAGAGGTACCTGGAATGTGAGCACATGCAGCTGTTTGAGCTGGGCAGCGTCTACCACCCGCAGTACCTGGTCAACGTGGCCTTCCCCTACCTCCCTCTCTCCTCCCTCCCCCAGTACCGCGGTCTCGCCCCCCTCAACAAACTGGCTCTCTACGTAAGTGGACTACATGATCTCCGTGTTAAGATTGATTGTTTTTGACGCGACTCCTGACACCAGGTGGTCCATCAGACGATGGCGTTCACTGATCTATGGTTCACGCTCAAGTGCGTCCTCTTCCCCGTCTCCCTGGTGACGCTGTGTTGGTTGCTATGGAGATTGGCGGGAAACTCCTCCATGCTCAACCTCACCCACAAGTAAGGAGAAGAACATAAATGAGAGAAGAAAAAAATTTATGCCACCCTTTCCACAGATCTCTTGTCTTCATGTGCGCAGCTCTCACTGCCTACAATGGTGAGCCTGGCACTCAACTCTCTTCAAGAAGCCACCCTCCTTACTTTCCTCTCTCCTTCCCTATCTGCCCTCTCTCTTTCCCTCTCTACCCCCTCTTCCTTTCTTTCTTCTCTCCCTTATCCCTTACTCCTCTTTCCCTCCTCATCCTTTGTTCTTCAGCTCCAATCGAAATGCTAACTCTCTACCTCAACATTCCGTGGATGTTGGTGATCGATGACTTTCGCCAAGGTCTTCTCATTTCATCTCTCTTCTTCTTCTGGATCGTCTTTGTTGGTGAACACACTGCGGTGAGCCATGTGACCTCTACATAACTGATAGAAAATTTGGCAGAGAATAGATTTTTACAGTTGATTGTGGTTGTAGATTGAATCAACCAATAGTCATACAAAACTAATATTTAGAGTTCAACGAAACATATATAGCTCAGTTTGGGGTTGTTTTATACTTTGATCCCAACTAATTTTTTACATCTTGTGACTTGTCAAATTTTTGTGACATTGACAGGTTATTAAACTTGTGGTGTGTGTGTGTGTGTATGTGTGTATGTTTTGTAGTGTTTGTAGTTTGGTTGTGAGGGAGACAGAGAGAGTGGGTTGAGGGAGGAACTCTGGGAGCTACTGGAAGCAGCTGGTCACCATAGCAACAGCTCAATCTTCATGTTTGTCTACGAGTTCTGTGAGAGGTAATTAAACTAAGTCAAACCCTGTTTCTTCTCTTCCTCCACTCTCTCCTCTTTCTCTTGTTATTTCTCCTCAGCTCTCTCTATCTTCTTCTTCACTCATGTTGTGTTTTCCTTCTAAAAATTATTTTCCCCTCCTTCCTCCCTCTCCTCCCCCTCTCGTCTCAGAGGTATCCAACAGTGTTCCCATTCTACAGTCTTTGGAGCAACCTCTCTTTGGAGAAACATGTGCTGTATCCATTTATAACATCTCTTCCTATTATATGACACGGAAGAAACAGTGGTCCTATTTTATTTGTATATAAGCACATGTACAGACATCACTCTGAAAATTTGGAAGAATCTGGACATTTAAAACTCTGTGTTCTGAGCTTGTACAGTACTTGTTTGTGGGTGTGGCCACGTTGTCGGGCTGTGGTCTACCTGGTGATGTTTGTTGTGATGGTTGCCAGGGCCTACCGTCACCTAGAGACAGGCAGACCAACATCTCCCACCTCTCACCTCAAGCACAGAAGACGGCACAGGTTGGTTGCACAAGCAAAATCAGCCAACAAAATAAGCAATTTTAGTTGCGGTGTGTGCGTATAATGTTGGTGCATAGTAACTCGTGTTCCACACTCATGTGCAGCTGGTGTCGCCAGTGGAAGTGTTCCGGTGCTAACGGCAACCTTGCTGTTTGCTGTGTGAACGAGCATATCGACATGTCATCCTACCGTCTGAGGCTCTGGTGGGTACACACAGTGGCTAGCATCACAAGAAGACCTACATCTATTTATAGTAACTGATTACATAGTATATCCCATCACTACAATTATTCGAATTACCGGCAGCTAGAAATTGTCTATGGGACATAAATCAATTCTATGGCCTTAAGAAAAAATTTAGGAAGAACTTGCTTGTGCCAGTAGAATTTTTAGCTGGCTTTTGTTTCAACAGGAAATTCTGTGTGAGTGTTTCTGTTCATCACTGACTGCGGTTTTGTTGTGTCTGTGCAATGCCCTTGTGCTTGGTAAATAGGGACGTGGAATGCATACACCTTGGATGACCGCTTTTCTCAACGCTTCCATCACCAAGGAGTTCCTTTCTCCTCGTTGTGTGTTGTGTGGGTGAAGCATTTGTTTTTTACAGTGTTGCTAAGAAACAAGATTCTTCTGCTGATAATGAAAAATTGCGGAAAAATGCTGACAAAGCAGTCAGTTGAAATGAAGAGTTTAACCCTATTGGACCCCTCACACTCCAGCTAAACCCAATGAAAAACATTGTAGTACCAATTTTCATTCATTACCATTGCAAATCATTTTTCTTTTCATAATAGTGACAATATTATTCTGAAAACAGATTGGAAAACACGTTTCCCAATTTAGATGGGACCCTAGAAAGAGAAATTTTGTCCCAAGTTTTCAGTAAAAGAAGGAAAAAAAGGAAAGGGGAAACAAGAGACAGTAAAAAAAAGAGCAGGGGGCGTAGAACATTCAAGGAAGGTGAAAAGATAATGACACATACCATTTGCCAAAGACACAGACCAGATTCTCCAGTACCCAGCCATTTCAGCCTCAGCCAGCGGGAGTTAAGCGGGTGATAATAAAAAATATTTGGTACTGACAGAGGTTACGTAAGTGTCGTGAGGGTCGCCTAACGAGGAATTATTCTTTGAGGGAGATTTCCTTATGGTTGCTGGTTTGCTTTGAGTGCAGAAGGCCAACAGGAAGCTAGGAAGACGAGGGAATGCTCCGATAGGAATGGGAGCAAGAATAGCCGGTTCTCCTGCGGGGAAGAGGATGAGAGAGGCAAGAAGAGGGAGAGAAAAAAAAAGAGAGATGGAGGAAGAGGGCGTGTGAGGAAGTCAGTGGGGTGATAGGTGAGGGGTGGACAGTAGAATGAATGCAACACATGGGGACAAATGCAACAGTTCAGTTTTATTTAGAATCAAGACAGAGATGCCAGTTTGGCGGGTCTTAAGTAATTCAGAGGATGTCTATAACCTAGGTAGGGCCGTTTCGATTTCCCGTTACAATGGCCCAGGGAAAGGAAGAAAAAAAGAAAGAAGAAGGCCCAGCATAGAGAAGGGATAGGAGGAGAGGCAGCATTAGAGGAGGGGGACATTTGTTGTCTGAACTAAACCTGGAACAGAGGGAGGCGACCGATGGTCTAGTCGCGTCTATACCCCCAGGATACGAAAGGTCTGGCGGGGGCTTCACGCAAGTCCCCCACAGATACTCCGACCCTCATCCAGCCAGGTCCCCGCACTTACCAGTCCTAAGTCCCTCTTCGTTTATTCGACCCCCCCTTTACCTAGACGAGAAGAACGAATTTCACCCAGCCCAGGCCCATAAGCCCAGACTAAGCAGTGAGGCACAGAGTGAAGACGTGCGAAGTGGTGTGGTAGTGCAGGAATATATGGGAATGAGCCCAGCTAGTTGCAGGGGTAAATGTTTGACATGGGTAACTGAGGTTGAAATCACTAAACCAGAACATATAGACCAAACAGAGCTGGACCCAGTCCGTTACACAAACCATTGATGGGACATCCATGAGAAATGGATCTGGGGTGATATCTTAACGATGAGAATGTACACAGTACAAAGAAAAGGCAGTCAAAACTGTACTTTGGAACACGGGAAAGAATTCTATGACATTATAAATATTAGAGAGGCCAACTAAGGCATATTCGTATGCATAACCCACCAGTGAGTATTCCAAGAACAACTCATGTGTTCGGCTCAGATTTCGCTGACCATCGCAACTGCATGGCTGGATATTGATAAGGAGGCAAGAGCAGACAGAACGGAAGGAAACCATCCAAAGAAGAGGGAACAGAGAGGGAGGGAGGGAGAGGGAGCGGAGGGAAGAGACGTAAGAGGGAGGAGGAAGACGGACAAAGGCAGAGGGAGGCGGAGGAAGGAGGGAGGAAGCGGGATGTAGGAAAAGAGGAGAGGGGCCGGGAGGGAGTGTGTTGTTCTTCCACAACTGTTTTTTACACTAAATTTTCAGCATCCATTGTGTGATAAACACCCAGCATCTCTTTTTCTCATATATACACACACTTTCTTTAAGTTTGAGCTGTTTCGTTTACATACAACACTTAAATAAAGAGCCAAAAATAAAGAAGAGAGCTGAAACAATAAGTATGTATAATGCTTGTTTTCTCTTCAGTGACATTTTCACAGATGATGGTTTGATAGTCTGCCTGTTGTGTTTCGTGTTTGTCTGCGTCTCTCAGAAGGACATGTCAACGTACCAAGTACTGGTCGATATGCCGTAGATGACGAGTGTGTGGCCTGCCAAGAACAGACCGACTATAATGCAGTATTTGTTCCCAACGAGAGACATGAGAGCGTTTAGTCCAGCCCGTCTGGCCACGACCGACGTGACACACAGAACTGCAATGAATATTGCAACTTGACCGAGAGAGAAACCCCACCACCTGGTTGGTAGAGGAGAGGGAGGAGGGAGAGAGAGAGAGAGGGAGGAAGGAGGGAGGAGGAGGGAGAGAGAGGAGAGGGAGGAGGGAGAGGGAGGAGGAGGGAGAGGGAGGAGGGAGAGAGAAGTAAAAGGACAGAAAATAAACTATTACTTATAATACCAGAAGAAATGCAATGCACGAACACGAGTACAAAAATTAACTTTTGTAAAGTGCCGTAAAATCAGGCAATTTTAATTGCTGGCAATTACTAGCTGTCTTGTTTGTCGCAACCTAAACACCGCATCTATAAAGGACGCCAGTGTAGAAAGCCTCAGAGGGGCGTACGGAAGACAGGAGAGACGCGAGCGACAGCGTGGGCAGGAGAGAGAAAGCACCAGCAAAAGAAGAAGGCGAGCAGAGTAGTAGAGCGACTGCGCCTCGGGGAAGGTAGCGAGGAACCCGACCAAGAGAGATGTGAGGGAGGACGCCAGTCTCGTCGGGCTTTCCTCAGCTGCCTCCTGCAGACACAATGTATTACCTCGGTGTATATACTCTCTCGATGAAAATAGGACAGGAGCTGCGGGAAAAGGAGTCAGGGAGCTGGTCATCTCTCCACCTTGATGGTGACCGAGACTTCCTTATTAGGGTGTACCTTATCTTCAAGAAAGTCGCGTACCCTTGAACAATCTGGCGGGTGTTAATAGTCTAAAGGGAACGTGCAGTATATAGAGAACTTGAAAGACTGTGATGAAAACTTAATTAGCATTTTTCGCCAGATTACTATCTCTAGTATAATTTATTATAACTGTCACATTCCCTATAATATTAGCAAGAATGCGGTAAGGGGGAGGGGTGGTGGAACAAGAGGTAGGTAGTAAGGGTTATGTATACCGCAAAAAGGGTCAGCCTGTTCCCAAGTGATGGGGGCACCCCACGAGGCCTTGCGAGATTTCTCCGGCAGTGACTCGGGGACCATGAACACGATGAAGACGAGGTTGAAGATGGTGATCATGGTGGCAAGGAGGATCACCTGTGCCTGTCCGTGGGTGTGGTCTTCAATCCACGTCCCCAGAGCCGGGCTTATCACGAGACTAGCTGCAAAGGTTGCCGATACCTACGGATTTGGAAGAAAATAAATCAGGTTCATTATGAAAGGGGCACAGGGGAACAGTTTGGAGTGAAATATTTTGCAAATCAAGGGATGCCTGATTATCGCAGTAAAAAAATTTTCGGGCAGAAACGATTTTAAAGACATGAGCAAGATTTGAAAGAATCTTGTTGTGTGCGATAGTAAAGGTATCCACGGACCAGGCCGTATGCTGAACTTCTGTCATCTTCGATGGTACAGTCTGCAACATAGGCAAACACGATTGAGAACGTCACTGCAAATACACCGGAAATAGCCACCGCCACAAAGTAAGCTCTGCATGGAGAGGAAATATTATATCTTTTACTCTTTTTCTTCTCCCCACGCTCTCTCTTACACTGGACTGAAGAGAAGTATGGGGATTGGGGCACACGTCATGAAAACCGACAGAAGTAGAAATGACTTTCTTCCCCAGGCGTCCGAGAGGGCTCCAATTAGAGGAGCAGAGAGAAAAGACAGCAGTCCCTACGAAAAGATGAGTTCACCAAATGTTCTATTTGATCCCCACCAATAATACACCGTATATACCTTTATTCCCTGAATGATGCCGTTCTTTAGGAATGTTCCTGTAGGGAACGCAGTCTTTAACGCCTGTGGCAGATACAAGATTTCTATCATAGCAGAAGACACAAGGATATTAGGAGTAAGAGAAGAGAGAAGGAAGGAAGAGAGGGAAGAAATTTAGACACACCTCAATGGTAGGTGAAGTGAGGAGACCCCAGGCAAAGAACTCCAGAAAGATGACGATAGTGGCGTGGACAACACTCGGTCGCCCGTAACCCTGAGGAGAGGGAAAGCCGAAAATGGTCAAGCTTCCGAGCTTGATGTAGGGTTGTTGGCTAGTTGGTCTACCTCCACGACGTCACATCTTGACGAGACGGGGGAGCGCGGTCTGCCGGGACCACGTCCCGTTCGCTTCGACCCTCCAAACAGCGTCTTTAGCTTCTTCAGCGTCTTGCTTTTCCGAAGCTTCTCCATAGTTCGCTCACTCGCTGTTCAATATTACAACGAAAAAGTGTGTCTTAACGGATAATTAGAGAGCAAAATCTTTACGTCACGCGGTCGGTGCGCATTATTTGACGAAAAAACAATTTTCAAGCGCGACGCCAGATGGCGGCTGAAGAAGGGATATCGCGAGTTAGCGCTCCCATAATCCTGCTCCTGGAGGCTCTAGTGTCCCTACTTCTAGCCGTGTACCTGCTGTGGAATTACGGGGATATCCGGAGGCAGAATCCGCTGGTATCAGTTACCACGCTCCTCGTCTGGTTCCTGAGCTTCTTCATCATCTTCGTCCTGCCCGTGGACGTGTCGTCGGCCTTCTACCACCTCTGCCTCGAGAACGTAAGACGTGACCGAAGAACACGGAGGCTCAGGGGCCGCCAAGTATACGGAGGCATGCGACTGCTCCGGATACGTCTGCCGGGACCCAGTCTCCGAGTGTATTGGGAACCGTACTCGCGAGTGCCTCGTGTGCTTCCAGCCCTACTCGTTCATCTGCTTCGACTCCCTGAAGATCCTCTGGTTCATCATCTACTGGTTGTTTTTCGTCCTCTCCTGGTGAGCTTCAATTAGAACCGAAGTGGGCGTGTCAGTGGGTGTGGTTTCAATCCCATCCACAGGGTGGTGATTCCATTGGGACAGTCGTACGTGCTGGCAAGTTATTTCTCTGTGTGGAAGAAGATTGTGCGGATGCTGGTCGAGAACATTCTCATTTACCTCTCCCTCTTCGTCATTTTCTTCATTCTCTTTGTGTACCTCGTGGTCATCAAGAAGATAGTGGCACTGTGAGTGGCGATTTTAGTTTTATCTGTCTCCACTCTCTCTCTCTCTCTCTATCTCTCTCTCCTCAGCCAAGAGACTCCATGGTTGATAGCCACTGCCTCTAACACGTGGGGACTAGTTATCCTAACTCTTCTCCTTGGCTATGGTATTGTAGAGGTGTGTGTGTGTGTTATATCCACCTTTGTGGTGTGCATGAGTGGTTGTAGTTACAGTGGAACTTTCAAACTATGGGGCCAATCATTTTGTCCCTATGTAGAGAGGTCGTCCCTATCTTGGAGGGTCCCTTATCAGAGGTTCCACTGTATTTAGCAAACCTGCCAGTGTGTGATGATGTCATTGTGTGGTCGGTCCAGGTTCCACGCTCGCTGTGGAATGCGTCTCGGAGATCGTACACACTGAGTCACTGCTACTTCAAGGCCGCCAAGTTGTGCACCGACATGTCTGAAGCTGACGAGAAACTCAGCGATGCTGTTGAGGTATACATATACACTGTATATAGCCTTTACTCTTGTGGGCCGAGTAGTAGAGCATTAGCTACATTGTCGACAATTTTGTTCAACCTGTTACGTACATGACAAGCGTAGTCCCCGTTTCAAGTTTCTGTGATGATGTGTGTCCTGCCATGAACAGTGTACACGTGGTTCATCGATATCTCTCTCATTCTCCATATTTTCAACCTCTCTCTTCTGTTTTCTCTTTTGCTACCCTCCCTCTCTCCTCTTTCTCTTCCCCATCTCTCCTCTCCATTTCTCTGAAGAGAGTGAACAAGGTGACCCAGAGACTCCACTACAACGACCCGCTGCGCAAATACGTCGACATCATCATAAAGAAGTTTCCGGAAGAAGTCCAGGCAGAGTTCAACAAAGGTCACGACGACTACGAGGACTATAGGGAGACCAGTGGAGAGGACAGTCTCTGTAAGAGCTCTCTCGAGAAGCTGCTGAAACAGTCGATGAAGGCTGTTCGGATGTCCACGGAGCACTCACATGTGAGTTACACACTCACTGGGGATTTAGGAGGAGGGGTACATTTTCATAGAATTCCACACAGATTCTCACGATCATGTCTGTGTATTCAAATGAAGAAGAGTTGCAGCAAAAGTCTCACTTTTCCTTTCATGTAAATCAGAAGCCATCAGTTCCCCTGATTCCCTGTCTTCTGTTCCCCCTTTCCCCTGTCCCCCCGTTCCCCTGAGTTCGTGCCCCAGTCAGTGGGAGATCCTCACAGACCAGTGTCTCGATCTGGAAGACGTGGGAACAAAAACGCCACTCCAACTCACGGTAAAACCTGTCGCTAATCCCGTATGACCGGTTTGAGTCGGGTTTTCAAACAGGTTTCAAGTCTTCCCTTCGACCACAGTCCAACAAATTCCTGCAGAGACAATCTACCTTATCTTGGTAAGTATGCCACATACAACCTTCAACGTTTCTCTCATTTTAATATGACAGTAGGTGTGGGCTAAAATTAGGCATGTTACTAAAGATAGATAAGGCAGGTGCAGTCATCAATTAAGTCGGTAACAGTTTCTAACTAGCCTAATACAAGGACTTCATTCTGTAGAATGGCATGGAAGGTGTGGCTGAGAGATTGGGTGTACCGTGCCGTGCCGATGTGCTGGTCTTCCTCTCCGTCACCATAGTCTGTCAGAGGTGACCTAGTATCGACCCTCCGAACCACGACATCACCTTCCTTCTTCGCCTTCTCGTCGTACGCCGGACACAAGTTCCAGAACTACATCACGGTTGAGGTGAATAAGAGGAGGTTGGAGTAGGAAGATTGAATAGTTGAACCCCTCTCTAAAGACCACCTGAATAAGAACAAGGACACCTTTACTTTCACAAATGAAAAGGTATTTAGCATGTAATTTAACCCTGAAATAAGGACAGAAAAAATCCTTTTCATTCCCCGATGGTGGTGTACTTGCACGTGGTTTAACCCTGAAATAAAGACACCTTTTCATTCCAGATGGTGGTGTACTTGCACGTAGGTTTACCACCTGAAATAAGGACACCTTTTCATTCCCGATGGTGGTGTACTTGCACGTGGTGTTAAACTGAAATGAAACCCTTTTTCATTCCCGATGGTGGGTGTACTTGCACGTGGTTTAACCCCTGAAATAAAGACACCTTTTCATTCTGATGGTGGTGTACTTGCCGTGAGTTTAACCCCTGAAATAAAGACACCTCACTAATATGAACACTTTCCCTGCCATTGGGTGTCCGATTAGAGAGGTTCCACTGTACTTGTACTGCCATGAGAGTGAAAGGGTCTCTGACTGCAGATTCTATCAGTGTGTGGTTGCGTACCTCAGCCTGTGTGCGTACATCACGGCGTTCCGGATCAGAATCTTCAACCTGTACAACCTGGCACCTCGTCACTCGACCGACGGTAAGCCTCCTCTTCATGCAGTGTAAGTCCCAGCGGTCTCATGGAGGCAAAAATTAGCAGGGACAACCAACCACAGTGAACCACCGTGCCCAATACTGCAAACACACCTTGATGTTTCTCTCCCAGTAAAGCCCTTAAATCTGAACTTAAATTCCCAGTATTGAAACTTGAAACGAAGAAATTTTGCCTCACATCCACTTTACCGAAAATTGCATACCCCCCACACTCACACACACAAACACCCAGATTACTAGTCACTAGCTCTCTCCCCTCTCCCGGTGTGGTCTAGAACTATCATCTCTAATGACCAGGTGATAGCGACTAGGTTCACTCTCATCAACAGAAGACAAAGTCCCACAGACCGCCTTTGCCTACGTAACGAACAGTGTCAGCACCCTCACGACTAATGCTCCCAAAACAATATATAACAAATAAAAATCAGTTCTCTTTACTTTACGTGAATTTTACACAGTTTTTGTGGAACCGACCAGCTCAATAAAACACTAACCAAAAATACCATAATCAAAATTATCCTTTCCATATCCCACACTAACTTTGAAAGTCCACCATAAAATAGTCAAGATTTGATCGATACCATGTGATTATAAAATACTATTAACCGTATTATTTAATATTTCAATCATTCACCTGTCTCTATTCCCCACCTGCCCACTAAGCCGCAGGCACGGGCATCACAATCGCTGGTCCCTGGCATGACCAGACTATTTCTACATATACTACCCAACAATCATCCTCCTCGTCTGCATCGACACATTATCAGCTGCGGCACTCGCCTCGCTCCGTCTCGTCTACCAAAAGTCATCGGGGAGGACGACTCTCGGCGATCGAAGAAAGAAAGATCCTCATGAAACGAGGTGGGTGTGGTGTTGGGTGTGGTTTTGGTTCAATTCAATTTTCTGTATATAGAGAGGAATGAGATAGAGGAGACTAAGGGAGGAGGGAAAACACTGGGGTGAGTTTCGTAGCAAATCAAAAGCAGTTGACAGAGACATTTTTGTGGTCCGCGCTCAATGTGCAGATAGTAGATATTAATGTGCCACTATATACTGATGTCCAAGCTCACAAAAAATCAGGTCAAACCAACAAAAAAGACAAGTAGAGGAGAGAGAGATGGTTTTCCGGGGGGAGAGTGAGGATAACGCCCGTGTCTCTTTCCCTCCTTCAGTAGCAGAGAAGACGTCTGAACTCCTTCGAAAAAATCAAATTAGTCCGAAACAGTCGCTACAGCCACAACGAAGAGAGAAGGCCTCAAGTGTCGGAAGAACTCTACTCCAAAAAACTCACCAAACAGTACATTCCCACTTAACTCTTCACGCTGTGTTTTAACCTTTGATAACACTGGCCACAACAGTAATTAGAGACCACGCCTTTGTGTGTTAAAACCCTTCAGAAGGCAACTTTGTTGATGGATAGCTATTCAAGTACCCGAGTACTATAGACTCATTTTTACAAGACTCTACTAAAAAACATTACTTTTTCAAAAAAACCAATCTCATACGTGTTTAGCTACTGAATTCTTATTTCACTGCTCCACTGATGGCAGGTAAAGGTTTTGGCTACTAGAGGAAAAGAGAAGGATTCAGAGCCATTAACAGTAAGAAGGGACGACACCGGTCGAGTTACTGAATCGTCTAACTCATCAGATAATCTACACTCACACCAGAAATCACAGCAGACAGCACGATCTGGATGGGATGGACCAAAGGTCACTACGCAGCTACCGAGCCCTCCAGCACGTGGCGAACACCTCCACCATCACAACCTATTCAATCAACGCAGCTGAATAAAGTATTTTTCATCTGAAAACTGGCGAAACAGATTATTAATCCACGACCATATCCGTTTTTCTAATAAACAGCGAACCATGTTTGATTTTTTTCATCTAAATCTGTATGCACAAGATCAGTTTTTTAACTTCTATTGATCACAGCAGCGAGAGCACCGTGACAACGTTTCTAAACAGCATGAAAATCTAGGATTTAATTACTCGCATAACCGTAGAAACAGAGTGTGTTTATAAAATTATGCAACACGTGGATCGACTTTACAGAGAGAGAAGAAGGATAAGAGAGTGTGTAATGATGTTATAGGGAGAATAACACAGGAAGATGAAATAGTGTTACACACAACAAACGCCGTTAGTGTGATTTTGCGCAGAATCAATGTTTATGGTAGCTCAGACCGCGTTTTGTCATCGAACTACTACGTTCACTTTCAGTTCCCCGCCACTTTCTGCCAGTTTCCTCCGCCACTCACTTCGCTCCCTTGCTGTCGTGCTTTGTGTTTCTTGTGTTTCACAAGCCTCGCAAGCTCTTCGTTCCGTCCCCTCCCTCCCTCCCACTCTTCCCTTCCCCTCTTCCTCCACCGTTGTTCCCCTCCTCCGGCCTCTTGTGAAGAGTGTCTGTCGTTCTCGTACGACTTCGGCCACCAGACTCGACTCGCGGCTAGAGCAACGGGAATCTTTCACAAGACGTCGTCCTCGGAGTGACACGGTGGCGTCTGTACGATCTCTTCCTCCCCGACGACCCGCATGTTTCAGCTCTCGACGAGGGTGTAGTGGTCGGCATCTTCGTCGCCTCCCCGGTGTCTCTTGAAGACACGCTGCGCGCTTCCCCTCGCTCGTCGCTGCTTGTCGGCGCCGCGACGTGCTTGGTGTGTGGATCTTCTCTCGACGTCGCGCCAGAGTTCCTAACACGGACTGGAGAAGAGTCGGATTTCGGTGGACGGTGATGCTGCTGGGGGTGATGTCCTCTCTGCGGCTTGTGGTCTGATGGGGTGACCCCGCCGCTCCATCCCGTCCACCCCCGTGAGAATCAGGTACCACCCCTCCTTCTCCCCGTTGTCTGGTCGCTTTTTATTCTCTCAGCCACCATCTCTCGCCAGTCTGTCGCATGGTCTCTGATGGACGACATTTGTTGGTTTGCCAGGGCCCCACCGATCCCTCTGTCCCAAGCTCCGCCCACTGGGTGTGGCTCCGATGGTCGGGGAGTGGCGCGAAGTGGGATGTCCTCACGAGGTCGGTGTTGCTGTTTCTGGGTGTTTCGTCTGTCTCCCTCACAGCCTGCTAGGGTGCTGAAACGTGCCGGATGGAGGCAGAACCCTCTGTTCACTTTCCTGATCTCCGACGAGGACGTGCTTTAACTAGGATCTCGATCGCTGGGTCTTCATCGACCTTTGACGCTCCGTGAGTCCTCCTGGGGTCCACATCAAACAGGCCACGCCCCCTGGACCCGGGGTCCAGCGGCCTGGACCACTTCTTTGACCCTCCTCCTCCGTTTTTCTCCTCTCTCGGGTGCTGTTTGTGCGTGGTGAGGAGTTTTCGCGACTGCTGATGTCGATCGAACCCCGACTTTCCCACGGGGAGTCGGTTCTGTACGACGGGCGGAGACATCCTCCGCCCAGTTTCGGGCGGAGTCATATCACGGGCAGGCTTGGTGGAGTCTGTGTCTTTGTTTTCCTCGGTGGTGTGGGGAGAGGTGTTGAAGGTATGTGACAACGGTGGTTGCTCTGGAGGACAAATTGGACTTATCGCTCTTTTTTCTGTTGTCGTGGTTTCAGCTGTTGTCATGGTTTCACAGTGATGAGGAGACATGCTGTCAGCCTGAGGGGCATTGCTGGTCGGTTCACTTGCAGTTGCGTTGATGTCGGACTGAACAGGAGAAGAGAGAGGGGGAGGGGAACAGTCTCTCAGTGATGATTCCACCCCTGGGCTCCGTCTCGGGGTCCTCCTCTGTCTCAGAAGGCCAGGAGATGCAGGCACGAGGACTTCCACCTCTGCCAGTGTCCCTCTCCTCTTCTCTCCCCTCGGGCTCCGAACCGGCCACAGCTGCTGATGTATCAGAGACGAATCCATTTGTCTCGACGGTCCCCCCATGTGGAGATCCACTTGCAGCGTTAGCCTCCGTTGCAGACTCCATTGCCGTATCGTTCTCACTGAGGTGGTTTCTGAGCCTTTCGCTATATTCAGGCGAAGAGAATGGCTCCTCGGTGGCACTGCTCTCTTCCATAGCCTGACACGAAAGAGCTCCATCACTGGAGAGATTCAAGGCTTCTTCAATAGGTTTCGCTTTCGATTCATTGCCAGGTGAGCCGGACGACTGTTGAATAGACCCGGAGTCAGAGAGTGGTGGGGGAGAGAGAGGGGGAGCCTGTCCAGAGAGAGATGTTGGGCCAACTCCTTCATCAGTAGGTAAGGGAATGGCGGGTGTATTGGCAGGAGAGCTTGACCAGCTTGTCACTGGCACAGAAGACAGGGGAGGCGAGGAGACAGTGTCCATTGGGTGATCTCCCTCCACTTCTATCTCTCTCTTCTCCTCCGCTTCTTCATCCAGCTTCAGTTTCTTGGGTGGCGACGGACAATCAATGGAAACTTCGTCTATCTCCCCATCATCTTTCGGTAGTTGAGGGATGGACGGAGGTTCATCTGCTGCTGGAACCACACCCCCAACCACACCCACTTCCGAAAGGGATTCAGTCTGTTGGGGAGAAGGTAGGGAGCACCCGCTGTCTTGTAAAGAGGATGGAGGTAGAGGTGAGGTGGGAACAATCTCAGGCGGAAGTAAACCACTCTTAACTTCAGAGGAAATTTCGGGTCGTAACGTCTGGGTCACTGGGAGCGAGTTCAAAACCGGTTCAACGGGTTCGTCTGTGAGAGAGGAGTCGATATTCTCCACGTCTACGTCAGCATCTTCTTCATCGTCAACAGGTTCGAGTCTTGTGGAAGTGAGTGAAGATGGTGGCAGGTCTAGCTGCTCTCTTCCTTCACTCGATTCCAGCAGCATGACTGCACCACTTACACATTCGCTCGGACGCTGGTTCACCGGTAGCGCCAGAGGCTCTCCAACAACCCTCGTGGTGTCCTCACTCTGTGCAGCGGGTGGAAGAGTTTCAGGTGTACCATTTGGCGTAATTCGGTGAAAATGGTCAATTTGCCCACTCGAGCTCACAGGAGTACTGCTCTGTGCGAGGGGCAGAGAGGGGGGAAGGGGATACGGAGCGGTGCTGCTGTCTCCTGCCCGGGTGGTTGCAGCAGCGGCAGAGGACACTGGTGGAGCTGGGGTTGTTGGGGAGAGAGTGGCCTCACTGTCGGTGTCTGTTTTCTCAGAGTCGACCTCATCCCTCTCCTTGCTTTCCTCCGAAGGTCTTCTTCTCCGGGGAATTGAGAGGGGTCCCGGGACCTTCTTCTCTTTCCTCGCCTCACTCCCTGCAACGGCAGAGTCCCTTGCTGGCACAGTTTGTGATCCCGGTTCTGATGTCTGTTCCTGTGATGAGACCGAGGTGGGCATTGCGGCATTTGATAGTTGCAGGAGACCATCTACCACTGCATTCTCCGGCGAGGAATTCCTGGGTCTCGACGAGGATTGATCAGGTTTGGCGAGTAACAGTAACGAGTTTGCCCCTGCGATACTGCCCGGCGATCGCATGAGAGCTCGTTTGGTGAAGAGTTCGACCTGTTTGGCCGAGTTTGTCGGTGTCGTTGCGACGGCCAGGGGAGACGCCGACTTCTCACCCTCTTTGCTGCTACAGTCTGCTAACATGTTGAGAGCGTAGTGGTCCTCCTGAGCAGCAAGTGGCGGCTGATCCAGGCTGCCAGGTGGCGTAACTCTCGACTGGCTGGTGTTTGCTCCAGACTTCACAGACGGTACTACCAATTCCTCCACTTTCTCCGGAGGCTTCAACGGTCGTCTCCTCCTCCGATCGACTTTTCCCTGCTGTTTGAATTCCATCTGGTGTATCCGGAGTTTTTGCACTCCGCCACCTCGCTTCGGGCTGCGTTTCTTCCCAGTTCCTTCCTCAGGTTTGCCCACCACGTTCTGCATTTGCTGGTAGTTAATGGGGAGCATAGGGTTCCCCTGCATGGCCACACCCATTAGTTGGGCGTGGTTAACGAGCCCGGCTCCGCCCGAGGGGTTCAGGAGGGGGTAGGAGAGTACAGAGCCTTGTGGCTGCGAGGAGAGGACGCTTGGATTGGTGACAAAGCTAGGGACGAGGGGAGAGGAAGAGGGAGGGGCTGCTGCTCCTTCTGCGGCAGATTTCAACTTTGGGGAGAATCTGGACGGATCGTGGAAGGGAGACATTCTCTGGGTGGCCATTTTGACAGCTTCTTGTGGGGAGGGTGCCTCGATGTGGCGACCCGTTAGATCTATGGCCGACTGCTTCTTGCCCCGTCTGTTTCCTACGCTGACATGGTACACATCACCTGGTTGCTGCTGTTGAGTGACGTCGCCAACTGCGCCTGCCGACTGCGTCACCAGGGTAAGCGGCGAGGTGTAAAAAGGGTTTGGACCTCGCTGGGCAGCTGCGAGGAGAGATGCCTGACTCATGGAAGAAGGCAGTACGTTCTGCAACCCAAATCCCATGTGAGGTTGCAGCATCGGCATGCCGGGTATCATTTGCCAAGGCTGCGGAGTATCTTGGTTGGTGTCGGGACTCCTCCGCTGTTTGTTGTCAAAGCCAACTGCATATGAGGACACCTGGGGCATTAGTTGTCCCGCGAACCTACTCTGTGCCTCCTGCAGCGCCGCGTTGGCACTCAGGGCCTGCTGAACCGGGTACTGCCCGAACGAAAACCCTGGGTTTGCACTGGAAATAGCCGACGGTGTCTGTGGCTGCGAGTTTGAGGCCGAGCTGGGAGCAGTGAAGGCCGGGGCCGGGAAGGAAGCCTGCAGACCGGAGGAGAACGGGTAGAGAGGGAGACCGAGCATGGATTTGTACGTGTTGGCGTGGTCCAGAGAGTTGGTGGCTCCTGCAGCTGCCGTGGGGTAGAGGGCAGGTCTGAATTGAAGACCGGGGATCATCCCCCCTCGCAGCCAGGGGTTAGATGCCGCCAGGAACGGCGAGGAGAGTGAGAGACGCTGTAGCTGGGCGGGGTCCGAGGGGACAGGGACGCCCGGAGGCCACATGGCAAACGGAGGCAACCCCGTGGCTTTAATGGGCTCCACGGGGGGTCCAAACTTGTCTTTGTTTCCGGGAGAATATGCAGAGCCGTCCCATATTACTCCGACTGCACCGCGAGAGTGGGAAGAGAGAGGGCTCCCCGATCGACCCAGGGGTGGCGTCGTCCATGGAATGTCTCGCCGATCGGTGACTACTGGAGCTGCTCGTTCTTCTCTTCCTCGTCATGCCGTCATGCTCCCCGTGGGGACTAGGTGCGCTACTGGTGCTCCCCGGACCCCTGTGCTCCATGTACGACGCCATGTGATTATCATGTGACTGCGGCGGCGTCTCAGATCCCTTTGCGAGGTTCGATATTGAAAAACTGGGGTGCTTGGGCATCGGGCTCGCCTGTGGGTGGTGGTGGTACTGCTGTGGTCCCGTGTGGGGGTGTACGGTCTCGTTTGGTCCGTGGTGGTGGGGGGTGGTCTGTGGAGAAGAAGGTGGGAACTGGGCTCTGTGGAGATCTGCCATCACTACATCTGTTTGGTGCCCTGGTTTTGAGCTGTACGACCTTCTGGTGTGAGAGGGATGATGTTCGGACGTCAGACTCTCCTTCCACTTTCTGTCAGGCACTCCTAGGTGTGGTCCATTGGGTGTGGCCTCATCAATTCTAGTGACGTCAATTTCTTCTGAGGTGTCTGCCCGGGTGTGGTCTTGATGAACAGGGGTTCCCCCAGAAGAGGGGACTGCTCTCCAGTGGGCGGTGGGTTGCGATCGGGCGTGTCCCGGCAGCTCAGAAGGCGAAGAGGTGTTACAACTAGGGGTGGAGTGGGCGGTGGTTTGACACAGACACGCCCATGGGCATGGCAGCTCCGACAACTCCGCCCGTGATTTGTGGGACCGGTGAAGTTAGTGGGTGAGTTGCGATGGGATCACATGACCCCAGTTGCCCTCCAGGCGGTGTGAGGATCAGGTTCGCCGAGCTCACATTCAGAGGGTCCGACTGTGCATCGAGTTGCCCCTCCTTCCCCCTCACCGCGGGCCCCGCACTCCCGACCTTCCGCCATTTCTTCTTCGGAGCTTCCTTCTCTTCCTGCCGTCGCTCCGAAACTTCTGCCCAGCCTCCTCCCCTCCAGCCCCCTCTCTGAACCTCAGAGATCTCCTCGACTCTCGACGCACGCCTGTTTCCCTTCTGCGCTGCCGTCTGTCTGCCCCTCCGTCCCTTCCTGACGTCGGGAGGAGGCGGAAGAGGACACACAACTACAGGCGTGCTGACTACGGCTGGCATCTCTTCGTCGTCGTATGCGTCCTGCGCGTACGGACCCAGCTCCAGTAGCTGCTGGTCGATTCTCTCCAGTTCTATTTCGTACTTCTTGACCAGATCGAGACACATGTGTTTGGATCCGAGAGTGGAGAGAAGGATTTCTGCTTCGATCAGCGACAGAGAAGCTCCCTCGAGCTCCTCTAGTGTCATCTCCAGCCCCGGTTCGCTCGGCTCTCCTTCGCCGCTTGAGCTCATGTGCTGCGGGGAGTCAACCCCATTGGTCAACGGATCGCTCAGTGGGAGTTTCGGAAGGAGTTTTGGGTCACCTTTTTGATGTGCACACATTGTCTCCTGCGAGAAAACATCAACAAGCGATCAACTAATACACTATTACCTACAGACTTCTCAGCAATACAATATAAGGTAAACTTCTGTGAGGATTTAAAGCGTTCCAAGGAAGTTTTATACATTGCGAATCTCCGACTGTGTAACTGTAGGCGTGCACTGAATAAGGTACTGTAGTTACTTGCGCAAATGCCCACAAGCCTGAGTACTCCAAACGCACCCCAAAACACAGTTTTCATATGTGTGTGGTTCCCAACCAGGAGCACAAGCTGTTAGCTACAGTTTTCGAGTATTGCTATAGTCTATTCCTTCCGCATCGGAGCTGCCTCAGCGGCAGCCTCAGCTGGCATCTCTGACTGGAGGACCCAAGGCCTGGGCCGCTGGAGCAAGCGTCAAAGATTCCACTGTCGAAACTGTTTCAGCTACACGGGTGTAAGAGTGGACCACCATGCCTTGTTCTGCTGCCTGAGAGCCGTGATCTCCCTCTCGAG